CGGAACGACATCCTTAGCACCGCGGAAACGCGAAAATAAATATTCCGGCCCGCGAGACATCGTAGGAACGCGGCAAAATACTCAAGCTCCGCCATCTGACGAAGCGATGCAATTGGATCCTGACAACTATACCAGCATAAGAAGCATGACAAGTAGGACTTCTGCTATAATGCAATCGCAAAAACATGTGCGGTATTTTTACGTAGTACTAGACGACATACCGAGAAAGCTGTAGGTATTAAGTAACACTACGTTATAACTCTCCGAGAGGAGCTTGGATCCGAAGTTTCCCTTCTCCCTCTCTGAACCGCCGCGGCCCTATGCGGTTCTCTCGCAACCATGAAAAGAATGATTGTCATCGGCCGCCCCAGGGGGTTCCCGCGGGCGGGTCACCCGAAATCCGTGAAGTCACCGATCAGGGATGGTTCGCATCAGATTCCAAGCCAACACGGCGAATTTTCCATTGCGGATAATTGTTGCGAGATTCCCCACGCGCGCCTCCGAACGCGCGCGCAAGCACGATCGGATGGCCACGCGCGGGCGCGTCACCCGAAATCCGCATTGCAGTTTCCAGACCACCATGACAACTATTCCATTGTGGACAACCGAGAATTTCGCGTCACCGTTCAGGTCCATTCCGAATTCCATACCATGTCATTTTTTCAATGGACATACGAAATGTCCAAAGCGCGCGTCCGCGCGCGCGAATGAGTGACCCACGCGCGGGCGGGTTACCCGAAATCCGGCTGGTCACCTCGAAGGACGCACTCCAGGTTCCAGGCCAACATGACACTTTTCCATTGCGAACAACTACAGGAAAGGCGCGCGCGCGAGCGCGATCGGGTGACCACGCGCGGGCGGGTCATCCCAAATCTGGCTTGTCACCGTTAGTGGCTTGTGTTGGCATCCAGGCCAGGCCATCATGTCGACATTTTCCTGAGTGAACATAAACAAAAGTTCCCACGCGCGGGTCCGCGCGCGAGCGCGGGCGCAATTGGGTAGCCGCAAGCGCGGGCGGATCACCCGAAACCCAGTTGGTCATCGTCACGAGTTCACTTTAGTTGCAAGGCCAACATAGAACATTTCACATTGTGGGCGTTACAAAACGCGGCACGCGCGCGTCCGCGCGCGCGCGATCGGGTGACGCACGCGCGGGCGGGTCGCCCGAAATCTGGTTGGTCACCGTTACGGGTTCATTTGAACATTCGAAAATTCCCCACGCGCCTATTCGCGCTGGCCCGCGAGCGCGATCGGGTGACCCACGCGCGGGCGGGTCACCCGAAATATGGTTGGTCACCGTTCAGCTTTCACCTCAGTTCCCAAGCCTACATGACGACTTTTCCTTGGCGGCGCTACAGAACCCCCACGCGCGCGACCGCGCGCGAACGCGATCGGGTGACCCACGCGCGGACGGGTCACTCGAAAACTAATTGGCCACCGTGAAGAGCTCACTTCGTTTTACGCATCAACATGGCAACCTTTCCATTGCTGACAAATACAACATTTCCATGGGCTCATATGGGCATATCGGGCTCATACGGCTCTTACGGGTCATAAGGCCCAGAAGGCACATGCCGCTCATAAGACTCATAGAGCTCACAGGGCTTATGGGGCACATAGGACTCATTGAGCTCATAGGGGTCATAAGGCTTAGGCGGAGCCCACGCGAAAAACACATGTTGGAAACAAGCGGCCCTCCACCCGTGAAGCTTTTGCAAGATGGTGGGGCACATGTGCGCGGCCCCAGGGCGAGAACCACATATTGATCACGAGCCGCCCTTAACCCGTTAAATTCTTGCAAATGTTTGAGACCAATGCGCGCGGCAATAAAACGAGAACGCAATGTTGAAAACGAGGAGCCCTCCATCCGGGAAGCCCATGTAAGGCTTTTAGCTCGAATGTGCGCGGCGCTCAGGCGAGAACCGCATTTTGAAAACGAACCGCCCTCCATCCCTCTTGCAAATTGATAAAGCAAATGCGCGCATCGACAACACTTTGAAAACGAGCCGCCCCCAGTCCGTGAACCTCTTGCACCGCCTTTAAATCGAGTGCGCGCGGCGCTGAGGCGAGAGCAACGAACCTTCCTCCATCCGTGAAGCTCTTGCACGTTTTTGCAACGAATGTGCGCGGCGTTTACGCGAGAACAACACTTTGAAAACGAGCCACCCTAACTTCGTGAAATTCTTGCAATTCTTGAACTCGAATGTACGCGGCGCTGCGGTGAGAACAACATTTTGAAAACGAGCCACCCTCCATCCGTGAAGCTTTTGCAATGCTTTTAAATCGGATGTGCGCGGCACTGAGGCGAGAACCTCATTCTGAAAACGATCCGCCCTCCATCCATGAAGCTCTTGCACTTGAGAACCACGGATGTGCGCATCGCTTAGGAGAGAAACGCATTTTGAAAACGAGCCGCCCTCCATCCGTGCAGCTCACGCAACGTTTTTGCAACGAACGCGCGCGGCGCTGAAGCGAGAGCAACGAGCCGTCCCCCATCCATGACACTCGTGTAAAATTTTGAAACGAATACGCGCAACGCTGAGGCGAGAACACCGAGCCGCCCTCCGTTCGTGAAGCTCTTGCATGCTTGTGAGGCGAATGCGCGCGGCGCGAAGGCGATAGCCACATCATCCTTCTGGTGCGGAGATAACGCTTCCCATAACGGAAGTGTTATCCTTACGCGGGAAGGGGAGGGGATGGTTTCTTCAACGTTGTCTGAGGGCTAACTATCGCAGATGAATCCGCCAACCATACAGGCACTTGGCGCCAGGGACAAACTTACCTGCTAAAGGAGAAACTTGGCCCTTTCAACGGAAAGACGGGTGCGAGCCGCGGGAGGAGCACTTCAATGTAAACCCACAAGGTGCACCGCAGGGGAAGGGATCACAAACAATTGTTCTGTAGAGTTCAACACGGCCTGAACAGCAAAGGCGGGGGAGCGGGGGCGGAAGAGGAGAATGGGGGAGGAGGGGGGGGAGGAAGAGGAAGAAGAGGAGGACAAGAAGAATGTAGCGGAGGAGGAGGAGGGTGAGGAGGAGAAGTGGAGAAGGAGTTCGAATAGGGGCCAGGAGGGTACACCACGAACAGGTGCACACAGATGCCCCCAGACGAGTGTCGCACGCACCTTCCTTCAGGGAGGGCGGCGGTGCGGGGAGCCGCTGGCTCCCAGCGGCGATGTGCTGCCTCGCCGACCTCCCCCGTGAGGCCCAGGAACCATCCCCTTTCCTGCGGTCGTGTCCCTCCGCTCGGTTGTCTGTGGCTCCTGGGGCCGTCCCTCGCTTTCTTTCGGCCCCCTCGGGCCCTTCCGTCGCGCGTCGGCTACGTGCAGGAGTTATTGTTCTGACGATAGCCCGAGGGTGAATCAAACAAGCACTGGAGGGTGTCTGTGTTCATGCTCTGTGGCGGCGAGGAGGAGCAGCAGCAGAGGGGGCAAAAGAACGGAGGGGGGTGCCGCCTCGCGGACTGCGAGCTGCAGCTGGCGGACGAACACAACCCTGCAGGTGGAAGAGAAACAACATGCATGCCTTAGGTCGGGCGTGTCCCCCTACAGGCGGATTTTGGATGAGAAAATAAGAAAAGTCAAGCAATACTCAAAACCAATCGAAGATAGTAGACAAATCGTCCCCAGACTATGTTTCTACTATTTTTGAATGCTCCTCCTGTAGAGGGACGTGCTCGACTCAATGCACGGCCATGAACGCTCGGAGGTCTGCGCGGACTTCTTGCATCCGCGCTGGAGCCCCTTCCCTGGCGCGCAGATCGCGCCAGGGCAAGCGCCAGATGCGCCGCAAGGGAGCGGCGGCGCCGATCCAAGAAACACACACGGGCCTCGGAGATTGTGTGCGTGTGTCTGGCTGCTTCTCTTGACAGGAGACTCCCAGTGGGGGGGTCTCTTGGGCCATCTTGGGTCCATTCCTCCTCCCCCTCACCCTCCTCCCCCTCCCCCTCCTCCTCCTCCTCCTCCTCCTCCTCCTCCTCCTCCTCCTCCTCCTCCCGCTCCTTCTCCCCTCGCCCACTTCGCAACTCCTTGCCCCCCAGAGGTCTCCCCACGGGAGTCCCTCGGCGAATTCTCCTCAGGCCTCATGTCGGCCTTCTCCGCGAGGGGAGGGTTCATGTAGCCCGCCGGGCCCCCGGAAGCGCGCGCCCCCAGTTAGGGCCACCAGCTGCGCGAAGCCACCGTGGAGCCCAATTCCTCCTCCTCCTGCTCCTCCTCCTCCTCTTCCTCCTCTTCCTCCTCCTCCCCCTCCTCCTCCTCCTCGTGCTCCTCGTGCTCCTCCTGCTCCTCCTCCTCCTCCTCCTCCTCCTCCTCCTCCTCCTCTTCTCGGCATCTGCCTTCGAGAGGGGCGGGGAAGAGGACGAGGGTGTGGGGGGTGAGGGCGAGGAGGCGGGAGGGAGGAGGGGGAGAGGAGAGGGGGAACAAAAACGCCTCGCTCCCCCTCCCTGCTTTCCTCCCCTCCTTCGGGCCTCCGCTGAAACCTTCCTGCATCCACCCCTTGCTCCCTTCCTCCCCTCCTCCCATCCAGCTCTGCCTCCCTTCATCGCCTCCTCCCTTTCTCCTGTCCAATATTTCTAATATTATGTTTTGTTTCCCCCTCCCGCTATCCACTCCCTACTCGGGCGGGCGCGTTATTTCTGGCCCTCTCGCTATCCTCATCCTCCTCGTTCTCCTCCTCGTCGCTACCTCGCTGTCGTCGTCCTCGTCCTCGTCCTCACGAACTCCATCCCCCAACCTTCCCCGTCAGACGGGCCCTGATGGAAACGGGTCCCGAGGGAAAGGGGTCCTGGACCCTGGGGCCTTCCCCTAGGACCAGTCCCGCGTCCCAGATCGTGTTCTGGCGGTCCTGGAGCCCGCGGAGGGTTCCGGGGGGCCAAAAAACTATAAAAAAAACATCAGGGCCCGTTTCCCTCAGGACCCGCTCAATGAAAGATGTCGCCGGCGCCTGGGCGAGATCAACGCTTTCAATCAGAGATGTGGCCCACGCGCAAGCAGGAGCACCATTTCCGGGACAATCGGGTCGGCAGAATGCAGGTGTCACACCCATTCCGCGCGGGCCGGGCTCGGTGTCACCGAGGTTCGGGCTACGTTGGGTAGGTAGTCTACGTTAAGAGGGGGGGGTTGTAATAAGCCCCAGCTGGAGGCGCGAGCCGCGCTGGCATAGTCCATGCCGCACTCTCCCCAGGCGACCGCACGGTCGCCGCAGCGGTGGAACGCGTCCAAGAGCCTCTGCTCCTAGAAATGATGAGAAATACACACGCACACACACATATATATATATATATTAATATATTATATATATAATATATATATATATATATATATATATACATACACTCACACGCACACATGCATAACGGGGGGGCGGGCCGGGGGCCCAGGGGCCACGACCCCTACCGCAGATGTATGGCCCGGGGGCCTGGCCGGACCTTGGGTGGGCCCAAAATCGCCTCGCAGGGCGGCCCAATGAGCGTCACTTCGGCCCCAGCCAGCTGCCAACCACCCCGAAAACTGTTTCGACAGATCACGGGACGTCTCCAACGGCCCCAGAGGCTTCGAAGACGCCTCATTACCCGTGCAATTTGCCCCCCACAAGGACCCCGAGAGGTAAAAATAGTTGCATTCCCGTGGTATAACGTACATTTGTACAATATTCATGTGTTTTCCCCTACATGTTTCGTGGGGTTCTGGTTTTCATAGCTGCCGCGTCGCACCCGCGTCTCCACACATACACACACACAGACCTCCCCTCCGTCCTCCACTTCCTTCCCCACATGCTGCTTAGTGGGGTTCTGGTTTTCTTCCCCACATGTTTCGTGAGGTTCGGGTTTTCCCCGCATGTTTCGTGGGGTTATGGTTTTCTTCCCTGCCGCGTCTCACCCGCGTTGCTTCTCCTCCTCCTCCTCCTCCTCCTCCTCCTCCTCCTCCTCCTCCTCCCTCTGTGTCTCGCGCCCACATGCCCACATGCACATGCGACACACGCTCACATACAGCCGCACACGGAGCGGCGGAGGATGTACAAGCATGACCACATGACACTCGCCAGAAGACGCACACCTTACAACACTCGCACACACACCATACAACGCTAGTGCACGCCTGGCGTGTTCACTGCATCATACACCCAAGACGCATGCACAACATACTGGGCACCAACATGAGGCGCACGTCCCGATACGGCCGAACACGAATCATACACATACGCATGACATGCCATATACAAGACGTGAATGTAGGATTCGCAACGCATGGCAAGAGGCTCGATGCGGGCCATGGCGCAGGGCACGGCAGGCGTGGCGCTTTCTCGACACCAGAGGGGGTGCGCAAGGGGTGGTCTCTGAGAGCGACCGCTCTCCGTGACGGTCGTCTAGGGCACAGCAGGCATGGCAGATTCTGGACACCGCAAAGGGTGCGCAAGGGGTGGTGCCCGAGTGCGCCCGCTATCCGTGACGGTCGTCCAGGGCATAGCAGGCATGGCACATTCTCGACGCCATACGGGGTGCGCAGGGGGTGGTCTCTGAGCGCGGCCGCTATCCGAGCCGGTCGTCCAGGGCATAGCAGGCGTGACATATTCTCGGCACCATAGGGAGGGGCGCAGGGCGTGGTTTCTGAGCGCGGCCGCTAGTTATCCGAGCCGGTCGTCCAGGGCGTAGCAGGCGTGGCATATTCTCGTAACCTTCGGGGGTCCGCAAGTGGTGGTCTCTGAGCGCGGCCGCTGTCCGAGACAGTCGTCCAGGGCGTAGCAGGCGTGGCATATTCTCGTAACCTTCGGGGATCCGAAAATGGTGGTCTCTGAGCGCGGCCGCTATCCGAGACAGTCGTCCAGGGCGTAGCAGGCGTGGCACTTTCTGGATACCATAGGGGGTGCGCCACCAATATCATTCTCACATGCTTCACTTCAGCTATCATCACTCCAGCCATAATAAAAGTGGGGTTCGTCGTTAGCGTAATCTTCTTCGTACCGTCCTTGACGACCTCACGGCCCTAAGATCGCCCCTACACGGCCCAAGAGGCCCCCCAAAGGGCGCCAAGACGGCCCAAGAGGGTCCCAGGCTTGTCCCAGAGGCACCCAAGACGGCCCCAACGGCCTCCCAGAGGGCTCCAAGAGGATCCCAAGATGGGGCAATCCAACTGGAATTGCGAGCCCCACGCCCCAAGAGGACCCCCGAGGCCCTCGAGAAGCCCCTGAGCAGCCAACAAGAAGCCTCCAAGACGCCTCATAACCCGTGCAATTTGACTTCCCAGAGGGCCCCGAGAGGCAGAAATGGCTCCAGTCCCTTTGTGGAACGTACATGCTGACCGCATTCGTGTTTTTCGTCTTCGTACCGTCCTTGACAGCCTCGGGGGCCCCTAGGATCGCCCCAACACGGCCCACGAGGCCCCCCAGAGGGCGCCAAGACGGCCCAAAAAGGTCCCAAGACAGTCCTAGAGGCAGCGGAGATGGCCCGAAAAGCCGCCAAAATGGCTACAAGAGGAGCCCGGGCTGGGGAAATCCAATGGGAATTGCGAGCCCCCAGCCCAAAGAGGATCCCCTGAGGCCCCCAAGAGGCCCCTAAGCAGCCAACAAGAGGCCTCCAAGACGCCTCGAAACACGTGCAATTCGTCCCCCAAGAGAGCCCCGAGAGGCAAAGATGGCCCCATTCCCTTCGTAAGCTAGAAACTGAGCGCACGCGAAGCGCGCCTCATATATGTAGATGCATATGTATGTGTATATGTATATGTATAGATATATGTATATGGATATGTATATCTATATCTATACATATATATATATATGCATATATGTAAATGCGGATGTAGATGCACCTGTAAATGTATATATATATATATACATATATGTATATATTCTATGTATATGTAGGGTATATGCATGTCTCTCTCTATATATATACATATATATGTATATGTATATGTGTGTATATACACACATATATATACATATATCTGTGTATATATATGCATATAGATGTATATGTTTAGCTGTGTGTGTGTATATGCTTATGTGTGTATGTGTATATATATATATACACTAGAACCATCGCGCGCGCTTCGCGCGCGCAAAGGTTCCAGCCCAGGCCAGGGGGGCGCTGGACGATCTTGGACGTCGCTATCAAGCACAGGCGCGCGACGGCATCTGAGGAGCTTCTGGGGTGTTCCGCATGCTTCGTCAACTGGCTGGTGGAGGCACCTCTTGGGTGCTTCTGGGGGGGGGCGTCTGAGGGTCCCTTGGGGGCATCGGTTCTGCAATCTGAAGCCGTCATTGGCCGTCTTGGCTGCGTCGAGGCCCGACTTGAGGCCACCTGCGGCCAGATTGAGGCAATCCGGAAGCCTCCCGGGGGCCTCCTGGAAGTAGTTTTGACGCATCGAGGGCACTCTTGGGCTATTTTGAGACCTCTTGGACATCTCCCAGGGGCCTTTTGGGCCCTCGGGAAGCTGGTGGCGTCCTCGTCGGACCACTTGAGGGCCTCTTGCGGCCTCCTGTGGGTCTTGTGGGGGGAACGCTCTGCTTTTGGGTCGCGTTCCCCCTCTTGGGTCTCTCTTGGGGCTCTTGGGGCCCTCTCGGGCCGTCTTGGGCGCCTCAAGCACCGTCTTGGGGCCCTCGCGGGCCGTCTTGGGGCCCACTTGGAGGCCTCCTCCTCTATATTGGAGCGGTATTGGAAGCCTCTTGGGCCGTCTTGGAGCATCGGGATGCCAAAAGGCCGAAACAAATAAAACCCGTCAAAGCCCAATCGTAAAACAATGAGTTGTGCCTCCCGGGGCCCTGTGGAGGCGGAAGCCTCGAATTTCCGGTTCGCGGTTCCCCTCTTGGAGCCCTCTTGGGGCCGTCTTGGGCCTCTCTTCGCCCGTCTTGGGCGCGTTTTGGGCCGTCTTGGGGCCCTCCAGAGCCGTCTTGAGCCCCTCTTGGAGGCCTCTTGGGCTGTCTTGTGGCGTCCGCGGAGGGTCTGTGAGCCGTCGTGGAGCGTCGGAAAGCTGAAAAGGCGGGAAAGGCAACATGTGTCCAAAACCTTCGTAAAATAAACGATGTTGGCCTCTTGGGGCCCTCTGGGGGGGCCTCTTGGAGGCCTCTAGGAGCGTCTTGGGGGCCTCTTTGGCCGTCTTGGGCTTACCTTGGGCATCTTGGGGCCCTCTTGGCGCCTTCTTGGGCCTCTTGGAGCCTGCTGGGCCTGTCGTGGAGCGCTCTTATTGGGGCACTCTTGGGCCGCCTGGGCTGCTCCAGGGAGGCTCCAGGCCCCCCCGGTCCCCGCATGGGGGGTCGAGGCATCTGTCCTGGGGCCCCCGGCCTCGCCCCCAGGGATACACATATACATATATATATATATATAATATATATATATTTTATATAATATATATATATGCACACATATATAATATATATATATATATTATATGTGTGTGTGTATGTATATATGTATATGTATGTGTGTAGATGCACCGATCCTAGCCAGGCCCATCGCCAGCAAGGCGGCATGTGCATCGATCCTGGTCCCAGGCTGGGCCCGGCCAGGAGCGGTGCGAATGTATATTCCTCACCGCCGAGGTCCAGCTCGTCGGAGTATCTGTAGTGCTCCGTGGGGTGCAGCCCGAAGGTCGCGTAGACCCTGCCGTCGAGGAGCTCCCGGCCCCACTGCACCAGCTCCACCGTCTGCTCGATGCTCTCGGGGTCCACGCAGTTCTGCACCAGCCCCACGAAGCCGCTGGGGAGCTCGCTCACGAACTTCACGAAGTCCCTCCTCTCAAGGGGGGGGCGCTGCAGGATCTCCCCCTCGCCGTGCGCGTAGTGACAGTTCGCGTCGAAGTAGCACGCGCGCCCGAACATGGCCCACTCCTTGCACAGCTTCGTCTTGAACATCCAGCGCTGGCCCAACCTCCTAGACAGGAGCACGCCGTCCAGGTGACAGTGGCTGTCCGCATACCTGGGAGGCACCCTGAGAGGACGCATACGCGCCCAGCCACGTAGCTACATGCACATGCCCCCCTGCTCGCAAGGCCGCCCTCATGTCACGAGCGCTCGCGCAATGCGCTCTCTCGAAGCCCATCTGGCGGCGCGTCGAGAGGGGAAGTGCGAGGGGGTGAAGGCGGCGGGGGCTTCTCAGAAGCACTCTGGGCTTCTAAGAAGTCCTCCTCATCCTCCTTCGCCTCCTCCTCCTCCTCCTCCTCCTCCGCCTCCGCCTCCGCCTCCTCCGCCTCCGCCTCCGCCTCCGCCTCCGCCTCCGCCTCCGCCTCCTCCTCCTCCTCCTCCTCCTACTCCTCCTCGAAGTCCTCCGTGCCCGCGAGGGCTTCTGGGCCTGCTGAGGAGGCCCGCCCTCTCTCTGCCCTCCCCCCTTGGGAGCGCCGCCGACCCACCGACTGAAGAGACGCGGGTCGGACGCAGGACGACACAGCGGCCTCACGCCGCGGATCACGCGCGCCGCCAGCGTGGCGAAGAGGGTGCTCGCGCGCGACTTTACGCGCGGATGTCCGCGCAGTCCACCCTGTCTTCCGTCACTCATGGGGGGGTGCTCTTGTGCGCTACACCGGACTCGCTTCTATAGCGCTCACTTCTATAGTGCTCACTTTGAAATTGTGGTCCGGAAGGGGCCGCACATGCAGGCACATGCCGCACAGTCGCATGCACATGTCCATGCAAATATACAAAAGCCTCAACAGCATTGCCGCACATGCGCGCACATGCCACACCGTCCGACGCACAGTCGAATGCACGGTCAAGCAAAACTCTGAAAGCATAGACGCACATGCCCGCACATGCCGCAGAGATGTCGCAGGCGATAGTGGCCTGACCACCTGAGCTCGGGGCATTTCGCAACCCAGAGTTCCGAGGATGTCTCAGGCAAGCGTGGCCGGATCACCATGGGGCAGGGCATCTTGGAAACCAGAGTGGCGAGGATGTCGCTGGTCAAGGTGACCAGACGACCATGGGGCAGGACACCTCCGAGGTCTGAGTTGTGAGGATGTCTCAAGCGAAAGTGGCCTGACCACCATGGGGCAGGAGATCTCTGAGGTCAGAGTTGCGAGGATGTCTCTGGGGAGTGGTCTGACCACCTCAGCCCAGGGCATCTCGGAGCCCAGAGTTGCGAGGATGTCTCAGGCAGGACTGGCCTGACCACCTGCTCAGGGCATCTCAGAACCCAGAGTTGCGAGGGTCTCAGGCGAAAAAGGCCGAGACACTATGGAGCAGGGCATCATTGAGGTCAGAGTTGCGAGGATGTCTCAGGCAAAAGTGGCCTGAACAGCTCAACTCAGGGCATCTCGGGCGAGGATGTCTAAAGCGAAAGTGGTCTAACCACCTCAACTCAGGGCGTCTCGGAACCCAGAGTTCCGAGGATGTCTCAGGCGAAAGGGGCCGAGACACTATCGAGCAGGGCATCATTGAGATCAGGGTTGCGAGGATGTCTCAGGCGACAGTGGCTGACCACCTCAGCTCGGGGCATATCGGAATCGAGACTTGCGAGGATGTCTCAGGCGACCGTGGCCTGACCAGCATGGGGCAGGAGATCTCTGAGGTCAGAGTTGCGAGGATGTCTCATGCGAAAGTGGTCTAACCACCTCAGCTCAGGGCGTCTCGAAACCCAGAGTCCCGAGGATGTCTCAAGCGAAAGTGGCCGGGCCACCATTGGGCAGGGCATCTCCGAGACCAGAGTTGCGAGGATGTCTCAGGCGAAGGTGGCCAGATCACTTCATGTCAAAGCACGTCGGCCTCCAAATTGCCGACGACGTCTCACGCGGAACTGGCCGGACGCGAACGCGCCGGCGTCCGGAGACGAACGCCGGCCCCGGCATTCTTGCACGTCCCGCACATGCACTGCACAAGTACGCACAGTATTCGCACAGGCCGAGCTCGCCGGTGGCCGAGCCAGGCCAGCGGTTCCGAGATTCCCTAAGCTCGGGCCGTCAAGCCACTTTCGCCTGAGACAGCCTCGCAACTCTCACCTCCTCCTCCTCCTCCTCCTCCTCCTCCTCCTCCTCCTCCTCCTCCTCCTCCTCCTCCTCCTCCTTCTCCTCTGGCCGAGCCGAACAGGCAGGCTGGCCAGTGGCCGGGGGCGCCCGCCTCCTCCGCCCCCCCCTCCTCCCCCCCCCTCCACCTCCCCCCCCCCATCCCTGCTTCTCCGGCCGAGCTGAGAAGGCGCGCGGGAGAGTATTTTATTAGGCGGGCGCGCCACCGCCAGCTCACGAACCGGGCGAATAACCGCCCCCGCCAGCAGCGGGCGAGTCTAAACGCACAACAAACTCTTTCAGGAAACCCTGGCACGCCCCAGGCTAGCTCTGCGAAGGCCAGGAGGCATTGGAGGCACAGGGGTCCCAGACAGCTCCTAGGGCATGAGCGTGCATGTGCATTGGGATGTGCACGCATGTGCGCCCGCGCGCTTCACCGCATGTGCGTGCATGTGCGTGTGATCTGCGATTCTCGAACACCTCCCGCATGTGCAGGCATGTGCGCGCATGTGCGTCGGACTGTGCGTGCATGTGCGTATGATGGATACATTAAAACACAGCGCACATGCCCCCGCACATGCCCGGGCACGACGTGCACAGTAGGAAGTCCATCCAAGAAGGACCGCACAGGCCTGGCACATGACTGGCACATGCCGCGCACATGCGCGCACATGACAGCGCAAAAACGGCCGCACATACACCCACCCAGGGGTATAGATGTGAGTGCGGTGTAACGCCCCTGTGCCAGGACAAGAGGTGATGCCATGATGGGATTGGCGCAGGATGCGGGCTAGGATCCATGACTCCCCAACGGAGCCTAGCGTGCCTCGCTCCTGCAGCCCGTGTGGGGCGTTAGGGCACCCAGGACTCCTCTGATGATGGACCTGCCTTCCACCACCACCACCACCACCATAAGTTGGGGGGAAGGAGGTGGAGGAGGAGGAGGATTTGGAGGAAGAGGAGGAGGAGGAGGAGGACCCCCGCCCACTCCAACTTAGGGTGGTGGTGGTGATGGAAAACAAGCCCATCATCTAATGTTCGCTCCGGAGTACAGCAGACCCGAGCCGTCGCCCCAGGAGGGCGGCGGCATCGGCGGCGTGCGCTCCTGCAGCTCGTCCTCTCCGTGAGCGTTCTGGCAGTAGGGCACGAAGCGGCAGGTGACGCCCAGGGCCCAGAAGCTGCAGACTTCCGCCTCAAATCGGAGCTTGCTCTAATAGAGGGCAGGAGAACAACTCTCAACGCAAATTCATGGGGGTCGGGGTGGTTATCCGCCCTTGATGTAGGCGTCCCTGTCTCAAGGTGCCCAAAGCTTTCCGCTCCATTCAGGAGCCTCTGGGGCCCTCTGGGACTCGTGAGGGGTGCTCCGGAGGCCGCGGGGGCCTCCTTGGAAATCCTGGGGACACCTTGGGCCATGGACACCTCTGGCAACACTTCTGGAGGCCCTCGCCGATCTCTGGGATCGGCGCTGGACCCCGCACTCGCGCGCTCCGCGAGCCAAGGCTGGCGCCGGAGCGCCGCCAGGGGGGCCCAACACCGAACCAAGAAATCCGCGCGGACCTGTGGAAGTTTACGTTTGTGCAGCTTTGATTCTTCTTCGAGGCCTTTCTGCCCGCGACGGCCAGGTCCGCGGGCGCGTGACTGTAGTAGCAGCTCTCCCCCCACTTGCAGCAGCCCATCGCCGCGAAGCGGCAGGGCCGGCTGGCGTTGAGGCCCCAGCCCTCCTAGGGGCCGAGTGCAGAACACCACCGCGATCGCCCCCGCCCCTCCTAGGGTTCTCTCCTGGCCCGGGTCCCGGGAGACGATCCCCGCCGACTGCAAACATTGCCAGGAGAGCCAAGAATCGAATCGATAAGTCGGATCGGCGATCGGAATGAATCGTGTCGGCGGAAATCGGCGGCCGAGTCGAGAAAAGTCGAATCGGCGGAAATCGGCAGGCCAGTTTGCCTCCAATAAAGAATCGTAGCCCAAATCGGAATCCCAAACCGAATCGAATCGAAATCGGAAGCCATCGAAATCGAATCGACTCGAATCGGAGGAATCGAAACGAGCCCTGGATCCCCGCCGACTGCAAACATTGCGTCTCCGGTTGGCTGGCTTGGGACAGGCGGCGAGCCCCGCCCTGCAGGGCGCCCATATGGGAGTGCCCGAGGGCGCCGCGCCCTCAGCTGGCACCATCCGCCGAGCAGCGCCCCCCCCCTTCTCTTCAGCCTGCAACTTGCGCCTCAACCTCCTCCTCCTCCTCCTCCTCCTCCTCCTCCTCCCCCTCCTCCTCCTCCTCCTCCTCCTCCTCCCCCTCCTCCTCCCCCTCCTCCTCCTCCGCTCCTCCTCCTCCTCCCCCCCCTCCTCCTCCTCCGCTTCCTCCTCCTCCTTCCTCCTCCTCCTCCTTCGGGGAGGGGGCAGGATGTTGGACCCGCCCTGACCTGGTAGGCCTTGGACACGCCGAGCTTCCGGGCCTCCGGACTTCCTTGGCCACGCCCGCCCGTCGCCTCCGCTTCCCTGGCCGGGGGGAGACAAAAAACACGCCACCACAGATCACGCAAGAAGGCAACGCCGCATGGCCCGCTCCCAGACAATACCTCGGTGGACGTGGCAGTCTGGCCCGGCCCAGAGTCGGTATCCACGAGCGCCTGGGCCAAAGCCGAGCCAGTGGAGGCTTGGCTTAGGTCGGGCCTGTCCCCCTACAGGCCGATTTTCGAGGAAACATTAAAAGCAATCAAAACATGATCAACCATGACCCAAAAGATACTCACATAACAGTCCCCGGACTACAGTCGGGGCGTTGACATGAAGGAACCCGAAATAAGGAACGAGGCCCCTTTTTTCCATAAGTTGAACTTCGATTTCCTATCGAAAGCATACGGGAAACCTGAGGCAAGCTGTGAAATACTGAAGGAACGCGGAGCCCCTCCCCAACGAAAAGGGTTCCTTCTCCAGGGCCCCGACTGTATGTTTTTACGGTTTTTGAACACTCCCCCTGTAGAGGGACAGGCCGGACGGAAGGCTTGGCACCGGGCTGTGCTCCTCCCTCCGAAGTCCCCTGACAGCTGGAGAGCGACCTCGGGCCCCGTGGTGCACGCGCCCCGGGCCCCGTTTGCTCGGCCCTGGACCGGACTGGAAGGAGCCGCGCCTAGACAGCGCATCGGCAGACAATCGTACGAGATGGGAGGCCACGAAAAACCAGAAAATATGCAGACTGAGGGCATGCGCGCTGGAACACGGCCACTGAATTGAGCAGTGGTGGGCGGCGGTATAGGCAATACATCAGCGCGGCAGCAGGAGTTTTAACACTCAGAGCGGCTCTCCTCCGCGCCGAAGTGTTCGGAATGCCGTACTCCCAGGGAATGTGCCAAGTCGAGGGCCCTCGAAGATCAACTGGGGCACTGGAGCACGGCCGTCTCGAGGCTCTCGCCGAGCTCTGGCCACTGGAGGGTTGCGACTGGCGGGTTACCCCGTCGCCCTGGAATCGGCGATGCATTCGCCGATAGATCGACGATAGACGCTCGATAGTTAGCAGACCCGCACGCTCCTGGGCGTGGCGGGTTATCGGGCCCTATCGGCGATGAATGGGCGATGGGGGGTCGATGCCTCCCCCTCTGAGCCACATGCCCCCCTCACATTGCCCCCGACTGGAGGGTCGCCCCGGAGATTCCTGGTCGGGCGACTATTTTAGGACAAGGGCGGTCTGGCCGTGGATGCTCGGATGCTTTCCTGGGTCGCCCAACTCCGCGCGACGCACCGCTGGCGGCCTGCGCCTTCCTCCCTCGGCCTGGGCCGCTTCTGCCGCGCGCCGGCGCTCGCCGCTGGCGGCGCCGCCGCGCCTGCGGCCGCCTGAGCGCCGGCCGCCGCCGCGCAGTCGCCGCCGAGGGCCGCGGCGAAGCGGCGCCGGAGGCGCCGCAGCGTGAGCCGCGCGGCGAGCGCGGCGGCGGCGGCCGCCGCCAGCGCGAGGGCGCCTGCGGCGCGGGACGCGCGGCGGCGGTGCGGGGGTCCAGGTGGGGCGACAGAGGAGGAGGAGGAAGAGGAGGAGGAGGAGGAGGAGGAGGAGGAGGAGGAGGAGGAGGAGGAGGAGGAGGAGAGGGCGGCGGGCGGCGGAGTCAGGCGGGCGGCGGCCTGCGGGGTCCTGCGCCTGGAGACGGACGGGCGGCAGCGGCGGGAGCCGCCACGGCATGAGTCTCAGAACGGCGTGCTGGTAAAGCCCTCTGCGCTCACGAAGGTCCACATGCGAGCCTCGGTCGATGACAAGCAACCGACTAGCCGGAACCGCAAGGCTGCCGCGAACCATCGCTGGGGGGGAAGGTGGGTCGAGTAGGAATGCAGCATCGGACAGGAGGACGAGGAGAAAGAGTCTCAGAGAGGCTCAGTCGGCCAAGGGGGTCCCATGATAGTGCGGAGGCGTAGGAGGACGAGCAGGAACATCTTCACCTGTTTTTGTCCCTCCCTTGGCGCCGCAACGAACGCATGGCACTAGCTAGCGTCGGCTCGGGGGCTGACAGCATCAAATGCCGCCGCAGGGGGGGGGGTATCAGCATCTGGCCTCCAAAAGGGAGTGCCCTCGCGCGAGAGCGTCGTGAGGCACCAGGCAACCAATTACGTGTTCGTCCCGCAGACCCCTCGGGTACACGTACGAGTGACCCGGGGCAAGAGCGACCTTTGGTCGGCGACTTTCGGAGGCCGCTGGGAGGTCGAATACGAGCGCACACGCCGCTGCTACCGCATCGGACTCAGCCATGTGGGGGCCTCGTTGTGCCCGCACAGAGGTCACTCCGCCGAAGGGTCACTCTTACGTGTCGTCGAACCCCCGTATCCTTAGGTCGGGCGTGTCCCCCTACAGGCGGATTTTGGACGAAAAATAAAGGACACCCCAAAACGAATCAAACATATACAAAAATGATCAATCAAAATCGTCCGCAGACTATTTGTGTTGCTTATGTTTGAATGTTCCTCCTGTAGAGGGACAAGCCCGACTCAATCTTGTCCTGGGAGCCCACCCCAAGGGGGGCCATCGCTGTGGCACGACGGCGACAAGGGACGGCGGCAAGCACGAAAACTGGGCGGCACGCGCGGACTCGGCATCTGGAGACGAGAAGAGCGGAGGAGGCGAGGGAGCTGAAGGGGCCCAGGGACACACGAATAAATACACACAAATCCCAGGATTCCCTGAATGTTTCAATATGTTCTGGATGTTCGTCTCCCCCCCCACACTTCCCATATCTTCCCATATGTTCCTGGGAGTCGACGATGAATTGTGTCTGTGTGCTTTTTCCCCTCCTGAGAAGTATGGGCTGGCATCCCCCGAAAACAGCCAGGCAACCATGGCGCACTTCTGCCCCGAAGCTCGTTTGGGAGCTCCGATGCCCCTGATGCCCCTGAGAATGGGCACTGCGGCCACGCTTCCAAAGCAGATTGCCGCAGCAGGCAGGTCTGTGATGATGTGCGTCCCGAGTGGCACGTAACCTGTTCACACCAAGCTCTAGTGACCACGGGAGCTACGAACGAGTCCAGAGACTGGGGGCGGCTGGGGCGGAGGGGGGAACCGCATAGCTATGGTCATGATGGTACATCGTGCTACTCATGCGGACCCTCCCCGTGCTAATCACGCTTGCTCCACCTCCCTCCACCCTACATTCCCTGCACACCCGAGTTTCCTATGAGAAACGAGGCATGCGTGAACCATCGGGACATCAATCACATGTCTGCCCCTAGATCTAGACGACAAGGAGAAGGATCGAGAGGGATCGAGGGGAAGGAGGAGGAGGAGGAGGAGAATGGGCTGGAATACTGCCAGTATCACCGCGACCAAACAGCGACCACCACCATAACCACCACCACGCCGACGACGACCACGATGACGACGACGACGAGCACAACGACGACGATCACGGCGTGGGCGCCCACCGGGAACGACGACGACAACGACGACGACGACGACGACGACGACGACGACGACGACGACGACGACGACAGCGACGACGACAACGACGACCACGACAACGACGACGTCGTTGACGACGACGTCGTTGACGACGACGACACCGACGCCGGCGTCGGCGGCGGCGGCGGGGTGCGGCGCGCGGCGCGCGGGGGGCCCCTGGCCGCCGCGCGCCCCAGCCGCTCGAGCGCCCGCCGCCGGCGCTGCGCGACGAGCGGCATGCCGGCGGCCCGCCGCGCCGCTGGCGCCGCCCCCGCCGGGCTGCGCTCGGGCGGCGGCGACGGCGAAGGCGGCGGGGGCGGCGACGACGACGACGGCGACGACGACGACGGCGCTGGTAGCGGCGACGACGGCGGTGGCGGCGGCGGCACAGCACCGGCGGCGGCGGCGGCCGACGGTGACTGGAGGTTCCCCGAGGCCTCCGGTGGAGGAAGGAGGTGAGGGAGGGGGCGGAAGCAACGGCGGCGTGGCGGCGCCAGCCTGGCTATCAGCGCGGCCAGCGGTATCTTCGTTGCTGTCGTCGTTGCCTCCTCCTCCTCCTCATTGCCCTCCGCCTGCTCATCCCCGTCCTCTGCCTCCTTCCGCCCTCTTCTCTCCATTCTCTTCTTCCGTTTCCCCCATCAGCTCCGCCTCACACCATTTCTCCCGCTCCTTCCGCCAGGCTTTGTCCTCTCCTCCGTCCCCCTCCTATCCCCCTCCCTTCTTCCTCCTTAGTTATCCTCGTCCTTATCCTACTCCGCTCTGGGGTCTCCTCCATATTCTGCTCCCTCTCCCCCACTTCCTGATCGACTTCGTCCTCGTCCTGCTCTTCCCCTCGTCCCCCCTCTCGTCCTGACCATCCTCTTCCCCCCTCCTCATCCTCCTGGCGCTCGTCCTCCCACTTTCGGCCGCCACGGCTGCCGCCAGCGTCGCCCCGCCCTCCTGGTAAACACCTCGCACTCCCCTCTCACACTCCAGGCCGCCTCCCCGCCCTCTTCCCATCCCTCCTCCTTCTCCTCCCCCTCCTTCTCCTCCTCCTCCTCCTCTTCCTCCTCCTCCTCTCACCCTCACCCTTTATAGGTGAATTCGGTATTACGCTCTCCTCTCCCCGGATTCTGTCCTTCAACGATTCGTCGTTCGCCTTGCTTGTGAAGATGGTGTTCCCGCTGCAGCTGTGGCCCCATTTCAGGGTCGGCGCTGTGCTCCCATCGTCCAGAATGGTGCTCCCAGCGCGGGCCACACTTCTGGATCCCAATCATGATTCGCCGTCGTCGCCCCCTTCCTCTCCCCTCGTCCGCCTTCCCCTCCTCCTCCTGTTTCTCATGCTCTTACACCTTCTCACCCTGCTCCTCCAATATAAACCATCCTGTCTCTAATGGCGCTGAACACGATTCGGGGGGCAGGTTCACTTTGACACCCGTCGGCAGATAGATACCATTCACCGCAAAGGAAGGGATGGGTGGGAAGGGGTAGAATTTCAGATCTGGCGCGAGCGCACCTGGCTTTTCCACTCCCACTTCTACCTTCTCCCCGCCTCCCATCGTCTCCCATCTCCTTTCTCTCCCTCCTCTCTTCTGGGGGGTCCCCAAATCCCCTGCAACGGAGATGCTTCTCACCCGCCACCACGCCCGAGAACAATCGAACATCACAACCTTACGCAAGTCCGTGCGAAGCCTAGATTATCCCCTCACCCCATCCCCTCCCTCCCCCCCCCGCCCTCCAGCAAAGCATCCCACACTCCCACATCATCCCCGTCGTCGTCGTCGTCGTCGTCGTCGTCGTCGTCATCGTCGTCGTCGTCGTCGTCGTCGCAGACCCACCCGTCCAGGATGCCCAAGTCAAAGACCGCGGCCCCCGTCTGCGAGGCGGGGATTTGTCCACAGACCGCCGCTGGAACCGACTGGGCCCCACGGTGGCCCGACAATGTGTATATCCACCGCCTCCCGAGTTCCAGGGAGATCGGCTGCCCAGGCGGCAAATGTGGACAGATCCTGAGGGCTCGGGGCTCTGAGGGATCCCTCCTCCTCCTCCTCCTCCTCCTCCTCCTCCCGAGGTCCATGGAGATCGGCTGCCCAGGCGGTAAATGTGGACAACTCCGAAGGCGGGGCTCTGAGAGATGGTGCCCTGAGGACGATAACCTCAAATAGTGAAGGCTCAAATGAGTTTCCATGTCCTATCCTATGGCACCATCCCCGGAGGCCTTCGACCTGGGGTCCGGACGTCGGAGGATCGTGCCACATCGGCGACGCCTCGGCGACGTCTGCGATGCATCAACGCCGCCGACGTGTGTAACATCGGGCTCCACATCGAGCCGCATCGCCGATGCATCGGCGATGGGGCACGATCCTCGGATCCGGCCCCATCCACGCGGAACCCATTTCCCACGTGGGAGTCCTGGAGTCCCTGAAGGGCTCCCATCGTTGAACCGCCGACTCGTCCCTCCCTAGTCCTCAAACTCTCTGGCCTCCCGACACCCCAGGCTGCCTCCCCGCTTGGCAGGCGGCACCGGTGGCGTCGTCGCACGGCACCGACGCGCGGGCGCCGGCAGCGGCGCCGGCGGCGTCGTCGCCGCCCGCTGGCTACCGTCGGCGGCAGCAACGGCGTCGCCGTCGTCGACGCCGCCAGCTGCCGCCGCCGTCGCCGAGCGGCGCCGCCGTCGCCGTCGTCGGCGCTCTCGCCCAGGGCCCTGCCCTCCGGATGAACATCTCGCACTCCAGGGTGTCCCCCCGCTTGGCTGACAGCGGCGGGTAGAAGCCGAACAGCTGCTGCCCCCAGTGCGTGGCGGTGGCGCTCGTGGGCGCGGTGGTCAGCGTCACCTGTGCGCCGCGGCGGGGCTCGCAGGAGTCGGGGCCACCGCTGCCGGATCCGCCCCCGGGCCGCCGTCACCGCTGGAAGAGGAAAAGTCACCGCCATGAGCACAAGGTCGCCGCCACTTCCTTTCCTCCTGCTCCCTGCCTGCTGTCCCCGTCTGGCCCCTCATCTGCCTGCCCGCGCGCCCCGCCGGCCCTGGCCTCCCACCTGGGCGTTCGTCGTCGTCTGCCTGCTTCTCCCCTCCTCGTCCCCTTCAGCCGGGCAGCACAGCCTGCCCGGGACCAGAGTGGCGTATACACATGTAGATGCACAGTTTTCTCAGTATCCCTCGGGACCGCTAAGACTTTGATTTCTTGGTCCGAGCTCCTGGTGTCAGGGGCCACGCTCCCCCGAGCGGCCCCTGCCGGACGATGACGGAGGCCGGGCCTGCAGATGTCTTCTCTAAGGAGCTGGAGCTGACAGCGCAGGCCAATTGCTGCGGCGAGGCCTGTGGCATGGCGCACTCAACATTCTGGTGCAGACTGCCGTGGAGGCGCTCCTTAGGATGCTGCGCCCTAGATTCCACGGTCTCGGACGGAACCAACTCCAACAGGGAAGCATGCTAGAGCTGTCTGGCCTTTGCCTCCCCCAGCACGTGTACGCATAGAGAAGTTACGACCTCCACGCTCCGGCCAAAGAAGGCAAGGACCATGTCCTGATGAGAGTGCGGAGGCACAGACTGGACCCGCGATTCGTTGACTCGCCGCCGCCCAGGCCGCCGCCGCCACGAGCATCACCGCCGCCACGAACATCACGTCGCCGCCGCCCACAACTCCGCCGCCGCACACATCGCCGCCGCCCACACCGCCATCGCCCACGCCGCCGCCGTCGTCGCTATGAGCAGATCCTTTTGGGAGTCGGCGCGGGCTTCGTGGGTCTGCTGCTGACACCCCGTCCTCTGGCGCAGGGTGGGCACAGCGCCCGCCGACAAAAAACGGCACGACCCCCCGAACATGTACGCTTCTTGTGCCTTGGAGGTCTGAGCTCTCAGCTGAGCTTGGCCCCGAGGAAGTCTGTCATGGGGGGGGAGGAAACCAAATCCGCTCGAAATCCGCTCAAGCTCGGTCGCCGAACCCCTCCCAGGGCCCATGCAGTGCAAGTTTTCACCCCGGATCCGTGTTTCACGGTCCAAGGCTCCGAAAGCGGCCCCCAGACACCGAAACAACAACAAAAATACCCTGTGACGTACCCAACCCTTTCTATACATATGGCGGTTATACTCAGGACCACTCAGTGCTGACTGGCATTCTGAAGAACCCGCAGTGCACAAGAAGAGCACCCAGCAATGACTTCAGAAGAGCGCAGCAAAAAGAGGAACGGCACATATACAAAATGGAACACAGGGGCGTTGAAGAGGAATGGACACATATACAAAAGTGAACACAAAAGGGCCTCCCAGGAGCCCACGAAAATGGCGACAGTTGCGCAGATCGCAAGCCCCCCAGGGGGCGGCGAGGTCCCGAGGTGGTCCATGTGGGACGTGCCTCCGCTGGGCCTCCCAGGAGCCCACGAAAGTGGCGACAGTTGCGCAGATCGCAAGCCCCCCAGGGGGCGGCGAGGTCCCAAGGTGGTCCGCGTGGGACGTACCTCCGCTGGGCCTCCCAGGAGCCCACGAAAGTGGCGACAGTTGCGCAGATCGCAAGCGCACCAGGGGGCGGCGAGGTCCCGAGGTGGTCCGCGTGGGACGTGCCTCCGCTGGGCCTCCCAGGAGCCCACGAAAATGGCGACAAATGCGCAGATCGCAAGTCCCCCAGGGGGCGGCGAGGTCCCGAGGTGGTCCGCGTGGGACGTGCATCCGTTGGGCATCCCAGGAGCCCACGAAAGTGGCGACAATTGCGCAGATCGCAAGCCCCCCAGGGGGCAGCGAGGTCCCGAGGTGGTCCGCGTGGGACGTACCTCCGCTGGGCCTCCCAGGAGACCACGAAAGTTGCGACAATTGCGCAGATCGCAGGCCCCCCAAGCGGCGGCGAGGTCCCCAAGTGGTCCGCGTGGGACGTGCCTCCGCTGGGCCTCCCAGGAGCCCACGAAAGTGGCAACAATTGCGCAGATCGCAAGCCCCCCAGGGGGCGGCGATGTCCCGAGGTGGTCCGCGTACCTCCGCTGGGCCTCCCAGGAGCCCACGAAAGTGGCGACAGTTGCGCAGATCGCAAGCCCCCAGGGGGCGGCGAGGTCCCGAGGTGGTCCGCGTGGGATGTACCTCCGCTGGGCCTCCCAGGAGCCCACGAAAGTGGCGACAGTTGCGCAGATCGCAAGCGCACCAGGGGGCGGCGAGGTCCCGAGGTGGTCCGCGTGGGACGTGTCTCCGCTGGGCCTCCCAGGAGCCCACGAATGGCGACAGTTGCGCAGATCGCAAGTCCCCCAGGGGGCGGCGAGGTCCCGAGGTGGTCTGCGTGGGACGTGCCTCCGCTGGGCCTCCCAGGAGCCCACCAAAGTGGCGACAATTGCGCAGATCGCAAGCCCCCCAAGGGGCGGCGAGGTCCCGAGGTGGTCCGCGTGGGACGTGCCTCCGCTGGGCCTCCCAGGAGCCCACGAAAGTGGCGAAAATTGCACAGATCGCAAGCCCCACCCAGGGGGCAGCGAGGTCCCGAGGTGGTCCGCGTGGGACGTGCCTCCGCTGTGCATCCCCGGAGCCCACGAAAGTGGCGAAAGTTGCGCAGTTCGCAAGCCCACCAAGGGGGCGGCGAGGTCCCGACGTGGGACGTGCCTAGGCTGTGCCGCCCAGGGCCCCACGAAAGCGGTGACAGTTGCGCAGATCGCAAGCCCCCCAGGGGGCGGCGAGGTCCCGAGGTGGTCCGCGTGGGACATACCTCCGCTGGGCCTCCCAGGAGCCCACGAAAGTGGCGACAATTGCGCAGATCGCAAGCCCCCCAGGCGGCGGCGAGGTCCCGAGGTGGTCCGCGTGGGACGTACCTCCGCTGCGCCTCCCAGGAGCCCACGAAAGTGGCGACAGTTGCGCAGATCGCAAGTCCCCCAGGGGGCGGCGAGGTCACGAGGTGGTCCGCGTGGACGTACCCCAGCTGGGCCTCCCAGGCGCCCACGAAAGTGGCGACAGTTGCGCAGATCGCAAGCCCCCCAGGGGGCGGCGAGGTCCCGAGGTGGTCCGCGTGGGACGTACCTCTGCTGGACCTCCCAGGAGCACACGAAAATGGCGACAATTGCGCAGATCGTAAGTCCCCCAGGGGGCGGCGAGGTCCCGAGGTGGTCCGCGTGGGACGTACATCTTCTGGGCCTCCCAGGAGCCCACGAAAGTGGCGACAGTTGCGCAGATCGCAAGCGCACCAGGGGGCGGCGAGGTCCCGAGGTGGTCCGCGTGGGACGTACCTCCGCTGCGCCTCCCAGGAGCCCACGAAAGTGGCGACAGTTGCGCAGATCGCAAGCCCCCCCGGGGGCGGCGAGGTTCCGAGGTGGTCCGCGTGGGACGTGTCTCCGCTGGGCCTCCCAGGAGCCCACGAATGGCGACAGTTGCGCAGATCGCAAGTCCCCCAGGGGGCGGCGAGGTCCCGAGGTGGTCTGCGTGGGACGTGCCTCCGCTGGGCCTCCCAGGAGACCACGAAAGTTGCGACAATTGCGCAGATCGCAAGCCCCCCAAGGGGGTGGCGAGGTCCCGAGGTGGTCCGCGTGGGACGTACCTCCGCTGGGCATCCCAGGAGCCAACGATCATGGCGACAGTTGCGCAGATCGCAAGCCCACCAGGCGGCGGCGAGGTCCCGAGGTGGTCCGCGTGGGACGTACCTCCGCTGGGCCTCCCAGGAGACCACGAAAGTTGCGACAATTGCGCAGATCGCAAGCCCCCCAAGCGGCGGCGAGGTCCCCAAGTGGTCCGCGTGGGACGTGCCTCCGCTGGGCCTCCCAGGAGCCCACGAAAGTGGCGACAGTTGCGCAGATCGCAAGCCCCCCAGAGGCGGCGAGGTCCCGAGGTGGTCCGCGTGGGACGTACCTCCGCTGGGCCTCCCAGGAGCCCACCAAGTGGCGACCGTTGCGCAGATCGCAAGCCCCCCAGGGGCGGCGAGGTCCCGAGGTGGTCCGCGTGGGACGTACCTCCGCTGGGCATCCCAGGAGCCAACGAAAGTGGCGACATATGCGCAGATCGCAAGCGCACCAGTGGGCGGCGAGGTCCCGAGGTGGTCCGCGTGGACGTACCTCCGCTGGGCCTCCCAGGAGCCCACGAAAATGGCGACAATTGCGCAGATCGCAAGCCCCCCAGGGGGCAGCGAGGTCCCGAGGTGGTGCGCGTGGGACGTACCTCCGCTGGGCCTCCCAGGAGACCACGAAAGTGGCGACAATTGCGCAGATCGCAAGCCCCCCAGGCGGCGGCGAGGTCCCGAGGTGGTCCGCGTGGGACGTGCCTCCGCTGGGCCTCCCAGGAGCCCACGAAAGTTGCGACAATTGCGCAGATCGCAAGCCCGCCAGGGGGCGGCGATGTCCCGAGGTGGTCCGCGTACCTCCGCTGGGCCTCCCAGGAGCCCACGAAAGCGGCGACAATTGCGCAGATCGCAAGCCCCCCAGGGGGCAGCGAGGTCCCGAGGTGGTGCGCGTGGGATGTACCTCCGCTGGGCCTCCCAGGAGCCCACGCAAGTGGTGACAGTTGCGCAGATCGCAAGCCCCCCAGGGGGCAGCGAGGTCCCGAGGTGGTCCGCGTGGGACGTACCTCCGCTGGGCATCCCAGGAGCCCACGAAGTGGCGACAGTTGCGCTGATCGCAAGCCCCCCAGGGGGCGGCGAGGTCCCGAGGTGGTCCGCGTGGGACAAACCTCCGCTGGGCCTCCCAGGAGCCCATCAAGTGGCGACAGTTGCGCAGATCGCAAGCCCCCAAGGGGGTGGCGAGGTCCCGAGGTGGTCCGCGTGGGACGTACCTCCGCTGGGCCTCCCAGGAACCCACGACAGTGGCGACAAAAGCGCAGATCGCAAGCCCCCCAGAGGCGGCGAGGTCCCGAGGTGGTCCGCGTGGGACGTACCCCCGCTGGGCTTCCGAGGAGCCCACGAAAGTGGCGACAGTTGCACAGATCGCAGACGGCACGTGAGAAGAGGAGAAGGGAACACAGGAAACTTGAGAGGAGGAGGAGTGGAGGAGAGGGGAGGAGGAGGAGGACGGGTCGACCACACTGCTCTATTCAAAACGAGTACCCAACCATAAAAGGGTTGGGGAAAAAACGCCCTCTGAACCCGGCGCCGGGAACCTCTCTCGCCGCCCCTCCCTGCTGGCCAGAGCAAGCGCCGGGCCACCTCCAGCATCTGCCTATATTTCGGCCACGTTCGGATCGCGCCACCTGCCCGCCCGACCGCCTGGATCCCCGCTCGCAGCCCCTTCGCGCTCGCGCCTTCGGGTGGCAGGACCATCCCGTCCCAGGGCGGGCCCTCGAGGTGCCCTGCCCTGGGCCGTCCCCTCGGCCTCCGGCGGGGTCTGGGAGTGATGGGCCTGTCTTCTACCACCACCACCACCACCAGAAGTTGGAGGGGGAGGAGGACGTGGAGGGCGAGGAGGAGGAGGAGGAGGAGGAGGAGGAGGAGGAGAAAAGGAAGGAGAAGGAGGATTTCTCTTCTATCCTTGTCCGCTCTGGAACAACCCTGAGCGGACTCGTGTACTCCTCTTCCTCCTGAACAACTCATGTTCGTGGCAAGACCAGGGGCGGCGGTGGGGCGTGCTGGGCGTTTCGCTCCCAGTCCTCCTCTCCTCCTCATTATTACTCCTCCTCCTCCTCCTCCTCCTCCTCCTCCTCCTCCTCCTCCTCCTCCTCCTCCTCCGCCTCCGCCTCCGCCTCCTCCTCCTCCTCCGCCTCCTCCTGCTCATCCTCCCCTTTCCTGCCATGCTCTTGATCCCCCCTTGGCTGAATGCTCCTCCCTCCTCCCCTCCTCCTGGCCGTGCGGGTGCAAAGCAGAAGAGCCTCTTGCTCTACTGGCATCTCGGCGGAGCCCCGGAAGAACGCATCGAAGTAGCCAGTGAAGCCTCCGCTCGGGGAGAAGAAGGGGGCGGCAGAAAAAGGGGGAGGGGAGGGGGTTGAGGGGGGACAGGGGAGGGAAAGGGGAAAGAGGCAGTGGAGGAGAAGGGAGTGGCGGGGGGGGGGGGGACGGGGAACTAGTGAGAAAAGGCGGAAGATTGGGCGGAGAGGGCGAGGAGGAATGCGAGAGGCCGAGCCCGCTCTTCATCCTGCTCCCGATACTTCCAATCCCATCCATCCTCATGTTCTCATCATTCCCACTATTTCGATCAGATCCGTCATCATCACTACTAGCCAAAACAGCATCAGCAAAGCATCAGCATCCGTATCGTTATCATCACCACCACCATTACAACCATTATCAGCAGCGTCATTTTCATCGGCATCGCCAGCATCAGCAGCTGCAACCTAAACAACACCATCATCAATCAGCATCAATATCATCATCACCAACACCATTACCACCACCATTCGCCGCATCAGCATCGTGATGCTCGTAATCTCCAAACCCCGCGTCTTCATACCAACAACACATGCACCATCATTTTCATCTTCATCTTCCTCATCTTCATCTTCCTCGTCATCCGCATTAGTTTCAGCATCCTCAGTTTCATCACCACAGGCATCATGTTAGTCCGCATCGCCAACATCTTAACCTTCAACCTCTTCATCACCATTATATCAACAGTATCGCTGTCATCATTCTGGACTCGGCTCGGTCCCTGGGATTCAGCAGAGGCGCTGGCATGGATGCTCACGCATGCTTCACAAAGGGCATGTCAACGCGCCTATGTCTGCACTCGCTCACGCACAGCTTCAGGCACCCACTTCGGCTCGGGGCCGACTGACAAGCAATGTGGAAGTATATGGAGGGGGAAACTGTAAACCCCCCCATTAAAATCGCGCGTGCTCGATGTGGCAGGCACGCAAAGGTGTTCAGCCTTGCAGCGAATGCGGTTCCGCTCCTCCTTCCCCCCCGCTTCCCAACCCACGCGGTGCGAATGGGGAACAACAGCCCTGACGATTCTTTGGGGAGGAGGCACGACGCACTCTTTGGAGCGGAACAACCTAATTCGTCGTGGCGCTGGCCCCAACGCTGCGCCGCGGTGCTTCTGCCCGCCTGCCTCTCTCCACACCGAGACCCTCGATCATTGATGCTGGTCGCGCATTCTCCGCGGAATCGCGGCTGCGGGCCCGTTGCCTTGCGCAACCACGCGGCAGTGCCCAGCTGTATCGACTGGAGTGGCACGAGGAGGAGAGGCGGAGGAACAGGCAGGGGGGAAAATGATGAGGAGAAGGAGAGGAGCAAGAGGAGAAGGAAAAAGAGGATAATGAGGAGGAAGAGAAGAGGTGGAGGAGGAGGAGGAGGAGGAGGAGGAGGAAGAGGAGGAGGAGGAGGGGGGTAGGAGGGGAGGAGGAGGAGGAGGAGGAGAGGAGGAGGAGAAGGAGGAGGAGGAGGAGAAGGAGGAGGAGCCGGGGGAGGCGGGGAAGGTGGGCGAATTCGTCGCACCACTGGCTCTGGAGCGGGGCCGCCTTACTCCTGCCCGCCAGCCCCTCCGCCCCGACGCCCTATATCATCGACGCTGGTCGCGAGTTTCCTGCAGAATCGCGGAAGCGCGATTCGCTGCCTGGAGCAGCCCTTCGACGCGGCCCAGGTATATCGGATGGAATGCTCGAGCACGAAGAGGAGGCGGAGGAGAGGGGGGGGGGGAAAGGATGAATTCGCTGCGGCGCTGGTTCTGGCGCTGCGCCGCGTTACTACTACCCGCCCGCCCCCCTCCCCATTTCTGGAGGTGCGAAAGCAGGCGAAGCTTCAGGATCTGCAAACTGAGGTGCGGGAGGCGCACCGCCGTCGGCAGATGACTCCTCGGCCACCCGACGCCTCTTGACGAGCCTGGTGTTGACCGCAGCCCGCACGTCCGCGACCCTGGTGAGCATCATCACGACCTCACTCTCTTTCGTCCCCAAGGGCTGCTGGAGGCTCTCGAAGTCCTTCTGGAGCTGGCGCCCAGGCCAGCCAAGATCTGCGCGTCCCAGGGTGACTCCCTCTGCGGCTGGTTGAGGAAAAATGCCTTCCGCCCGAGCCAGCGCTGCCGTGGCGTGCGTCTTGGTCTTTTCGGCCAGTGCCAAGACCAATGCCGCAGTCCATCCCTTCTCTTGCGCCACCCCAAGGCTCTCTGCAACCTCACAATGTTGCCCACCGTCTGGGGGTGCTAGTGGGCCACGTGCTTCCACGTGCCAGCGGCCCGCTCGACCGTCCCAGCCGCGCCGTGGACGTTGCCTGGGGACGCTGCCGTGGGTGGCTCGAGCTGAGCGGCCCTAGACTGCAACATCGTCTTCAAGTCCTGGTCATCGGTATTCTGAACGGCGAACCGCAGGAGCGAGGAGACACTCTGAAGTGTTGCCTCCGTTGCGTATCCTTCCGCGCCTTTGCCACCTGCCGACTTGTCCCACCCGTGCCAGTACTCGCCATTGCCCTGGGATTCTTCGCGGGACTTGTGCAGCTTTACCTGCCTCTTCGCACACTCTTTGTTGGTGGCCATGAGGATCAGGTTCCACTCGGCAGGTCCACATTCACATCGAGACCAATGATGGCCATTGTCCGCCATGATATGGCATCTCTTGTTTGGGCACCCACCGAAAACGATCCATTGAAATGCGCTCTAGGTGACATGCCCCGGCAGCAAACACCTCGCGCAGGCACAATCGACGAGCTCGCCAAAATGGTCATGAACCAAAAATGCTTGAGCGGAAGAATTACGACAGGCCAAATCGTCGCGGCTCTGGCTCCAGCGCTGCGCCGCACTCTTCCTGCCCGCCCACCCCCCTCCACCCCGAGACCCGTAATCACCGACGCTGGTCGCGCATTCTCTGCAAGAGTCGCAGCTGCGCGCCCGCTGCCATGCACGGCCGTGCGTCGGGGCCCAGAAATCACACTGAAGCGGCACGAGGAAGAGGATAACGACGAGGAGGAGCCAGAGGGGGAGGAGGAGGAGGACGAAAACGAGGAGGAACGGGAGGAGGAGGAGGAGGAAGGGAGCAAAGACGAGGAGAAAAACTGGACTGGACTGGAACGCTTACGACCCTGAGTTGTCTTTCCGGGGTGCGACACTTGGCAAACTGGCCGAGGGTATGTAAAAAAGGACATGGATTGGCAACCGCAGGGCTATAGCCTGCAGCCTCGCTGGGGGGGAGGCCCCTGGCCCAAAGCAGGACCGTCTGACGGGGAAGGGACACGCACACACCCGAGGCCAGAATAATGAAGAGAGACGGCTGCAGCATAATACGCGGAAGGGGGAGAAAAACGCGGGGGGCAACAAGCGACGGAAGAGCCCGTAGCGTTCCGCGCGGAACTCTGCAAGATCAGATTCGGGACTTCTGGGGTCAGACGGTGGTGGGGGCGGAGGGGCAAGCAGCGCACTCGAGGCACGCGCAACGGCAACGAACAAGGAAAACGACAAGATCAGTGTACGCCGTCTTGACCTGCGCGGCTCACTGGAGACCCTGAACAACCGCCATCTAAAAAAAAACTCAACATAAGATAAATCCAAAGTGATTTCGCCCGATCAGTGCTGCAAGATGGGACTCTCGGACCTTCCCTGGAAAAACTCAGGCGGGGACTGTTCGACGTGGCCTCTTTGGGCCAGGTCCAATATTCGAACCGAGTACTGGATAGAAATGAGACGAGCATGCTGCCTTGTCCTTGGTGCGGGCGGCCTGGCCTCCGAAGTCCCCGCGCTGGCCGAGCTGCGTGCACGGGGTGTCGCACTTGCTCGTGGAGTAAGGTTCTCTCCGCCACCAGGAATAAATATCTGTGTGTCTCAACTGAGAGATCAGTGGGGGATCACTCGCATCATAAGAGCTCAATCGTTCAGGTGCGTCTGGATCTCGCCAGGGGCTCTTCCGAACTTCTGGAGACGGTGTTTTGCGTCCCGCTCGATGGCCACCTTCGGGGCGGCTGCGGCCTTGATCTCGCCGCCGTCCTTCCTGATGCATGCCCAGAGGGCCGCGTGCACCGTCATCATCAGCTGGCCGTGCAGTGCCACCACTTGGCTCTGCACATATGGGCTCATCATGAACTGTGGCTTGAACGTGTCCGCTTCCTTCTTGCCAGTTTTTTCGTCGAGCCGGCGTGCCCGAGTCCGAAAGTATCGAACGTGCCCGGCCAGAACTCCCAGCGTCTCCGACTGACTTGTCCTCCTTGATCGTCTGCGCCCAATAGTTTTTGAGTACCGCCAGTGCTTGCAACTCCGTTCTTTGAGCTGCTGCCGCCATGCTGTCTATGGAGTGCTGCGCCAGCGCCATCAAGATTCGGGGCCATGGTGGCCCGCTGTCGTGCTGCTTCCCCTGTGGTTTGCGATCTGTCGCGTGGTCCTGGCATGGTGCCTGCGTGATCTTGACGAGAGGCGCCGCCGCGGGCACACAACAACAGGTGAATGTAGAGCCCGCGAGTTCCGCGAGATCTCTTGAAGTGGCGAGAGAACGCCTGCGCAAGATTGAAAGCAGAGCTGCCATGACGCTTCCTTCTTTGCATGTAAACTCCTGGCGGCGTGCCTGCTCCATCACTGTCTCCTCTATACGGACCCTCCGTCCGTGTCCTTCTGCCTCTTGAGTCGGCCGGCGTTTGCCGAGCGACCACGAAGGGCCAGACATGGCTGTCGCTGTCATGAAGCAGCGGGAGGCTCGTGAAGTGCGTACGAAGATGCTTGGAGACTAAATGCGGGTCAGCAATACGAGCCTCACACCCCAAACCAAGGGAGTAGGGGCTCTGATGCCCGTGCTGCGATTCAGCATACAAATATCATTTAGAATCGGGTCGACCAGATGCTTATATGCTGAGTTCCTGGATTTTAATACATCACTACACGCAAAACATTGGATTGTCACAAGTGCCGAGATTTTAGGCAATGCTGATTCTGTGGGTGAACGAGTACCTGTCGTTTGCTATGGAACCTTCAGGGGCAACCAGGGACCGTGCACCCATGTTCTCCGCCTTCAGGTTCGGCCCCTCGGAACTCTGGTACCTCAGGAGGTGGAGCCCAGTTTGGCGGAGGAATCCTGATGGACAAAAATGCCGCTCGCATCATTTTTTCGTCAATGGGCGTGAACCAATCGATCAGCTCTTGATCAGAAACGTAAGAACAAACAAAACTAACATGCTGTCCGCCAAACCACCGCACCACGCTATACTCCTGGTCCCCGAGCTTTGCCAAAGAAGCAATGTCCTCTACAAATCTGCAAACCCAGGGACAAGCCGCCCACCCCCTCCCCCTCCTTCTCCTCCTCCTCCTCCTCCTCGTCCTCCTCCTCCTCCTCCTCCTCCTCCTCCTTCCCCCCCTCCCATCGCCCTCCTCCTCCTCCTCCTCCTCCTCCTTCTCTTCCTCCTCCTCCTTTCCTTTTCCTCATAAATCACTTCTCCCTGTCGCACCCCGAGGCAAGTTTTTAGGGAGTGTCGGGCGTTTCGCCTCACCACTCACGACCCTTCATTTAAGCTTGTACATTGGCAACGGTTTCAAATATTGGCTCTCGTCTTAGCGCGGCGTACTCTCGTGTTAACCATGTGCAAGGGTTTCACGGATTGAGGACGGCTCCTTTTCAAACTGTGGTTCTCGCTTTAGCGCCGCGCACATTCGTCATACATATGCGCAAGAGTTTCACGGATTGAGGGCCGGCGGTTTTCGACATGTTGCTCTCGCCTTAACGCAACGCACATTCGTTTCAACAAATTGCAAGAGCTTCACGGGTCGATGGCGGTTCCTTTTCAACTTGTGGCTCTCGCCTTAGCGCAGCGCACATTCATTAAACAAACTGCAAGAGCTTCACGGATTAAGGCGGGCCGTTTTCAGTATGTGGCTCTCGCTTTCGCGCGGCGCACATTCGTTTTAAACAATTGCAAGAGCTTCACGGATTGAGGGCGGATGGTTTTCAAAATGTGGCTCTTGCCTCAACGCTTAATTCTAAATAGTTGCCAGAACTTCACGGGTCAATTGCGGCTTTTTTTTCAAAATGTGGATCCCGCGTTAGCGCCGCGTACATTCGTTTACAACATTTGCAAAAATTCCACGGGTTCCCATCATCAACGTACCAGGCATGGTGTTTTGCACAAGAAGAGGATTACGCGGGAATTCCGAAAGATCGTCAACGCGCAAAGGTCAGGTGGATCCGTGGCGTTGGAATCCCAAAAACAATGTTTTGGCATGCTTCAGGGTCTTCAAACGGTTGTTTTCCAACGAGGCGGTTCCCCCAATGGAAATGAATGATTGTAGGGGCCTGTGAAGAGGGAGCTTGGAGGGAGGGTTTACTCAAACATCGTTGATGACTTTTGGGTTTACACGGGTCCTCCTCCTCCTTCTCTTTCTCCTCTGTCCGTTCCCTGCCTGCCTCCTCCTCCTCCTCCTTACCCTCTCCCTCCGCCCCTTCCCTCCTCCGCATTTACTTCGCAACCTGCCCCTTCCCCTCCCCGCTCACCCCTCCCCCCCCCGCCCCGTCCACCCCTGTCTCCGCCCCTTTCCTACGTCCCCTTCCCTCCCTCGTCCGCCCCTGCCCCCGAAACCCCCGCCCTGTGGCTGCCAGTGGCGCGCGGCCGCCGCGCCCGCCTTCGATCGGGCCGTCCTTGGCGACCTTCATGGCGCACCTCGGCTGGGGGCTGGGACGGGCGGGGGGGGAGCACGAGGGAACACGAGGGGGGAAGAGCCCACGAGGAGGGGCGGTGGGCGGAGGGGAGGAGGGAGGGAGAATAAACAAGATACTGGAAGATAGGGCGGGGGGGGGTGAAGTACGCAGGTGAGAACAGTGCCGTGCCACTACGAGAGCGTGCTGCGGCAATGACACATCCTTCGCGTTCGCCGCGGATGGCCAGCCGACGACAGTCCGGACCACGCCGAAGTTGCGACGGGGAGGCCCACAGACACCCTGAAGAATCTGCGGACCCGAGCCGCGGGAGCGGAAACCAAAACAGAGCGCCACATCCGCGGGGACGGACCCCGCCCCGATCCAACCCAGTGCGCACCCCACCATTCCCCTGCCGGTAAGATGCAGCCGGCTGGGGTTCAGACCGTGAAGGACGCCTGCAGCCAGGCGGTGTCCGCCAGTGGCGCCCGAGGCCACAAACCCTGGGACACTACTGAAGATTCGCGCCACCGGAGCCATACACCCTGGTAAATTACACGATGTTTGCGTTCCCAGGGCAACACACCCTGGTGAAAGTATGCATTGTTCGCATCCCCGAAGCCAAAAACCCTGGCAGATTACGCAATAACCGTCGTACATTACCTGATGTTCGCGCCACCGAAGCCGTAAACCCTAGTAAATTAATATTGGCCCTCGCGTGAAGTCCCGACATTGCTTCACGTCAGCGTCCAGACATCGCAACACAGCTCTGGCAAATCCCCTTAAGAGAGGGGGGCCGGCGTGGCATGGGGGCGAAGCCCTTACGGATATATGGCAAACACTTATACCTGTATAGCGACCGCGGCAAAGCAGATGGTCGAACGCCGCTGCCACGGCGCCTTCCTCTACTGGCTAGTGTCTTTTTTCCCAAGAAGAATGGAGCGGACCACTACAGATGACGACCGCGGCAGGGCATCTGTTAAGATGTCTCCGCCGCAGCGCCTTCTTCCACGGGACTTGTTACGTCGAGGGCGTGCCGGAACGCGGCTGTAGTCGTTGTGCCGATGTCTCGCTGCGACAGGGCTCACGCAGGTCCGCGCGGGGCTTCTTGGTGCCGCCTTTTGGCCCATGTCGCGCTGCATGCTGTCCGCGGCGAGAGATCCCCAAGGCAGCAGCGCTCAAAGGAGTGGGGGAGGTGAAAAGGGTGAGGAGGGTGGCCAAGAGGCGGGAGCTTAGGATTAGGTCGGGCGCGTCCTCCTACATATGGATTTTGGACGACAAATTCAAAATAGCCAAAACAAGTCAAAAAATCCGCCGGTCCCCTTGTGGGGCCACCAGGCTGTAGGCCGAAGGTTCGCAATTTCCTGTACCAGTTGCAGCTTCCAGTTTCCACTGTTACAGTTCTGCTTCTTGCTGCTTACTGTTCCTTGTTGACTTCTTGCTGCTTGCTGTTCCTGATTGATGGACCGCGCGAAGGGGGGAAGCCCAAAACAGGCATGTTTACTACGCCCAAATAATATTGTCTGAATTGCCGGGGTGGGTAAACATTTACACCCCTCACGCAGATCGGCGGGGTCAGGGTCCAAAAACATAAGGGATTTGCCACATTTCTGCAATTCGGTGGCACCCCTCACGCAGATCGGCGGGGTCAGGGTCCAAAAACACAGAGGATTTGCCACATCTCTAAAATTCGGTGGCACCCCTGACGCAGCAGATCGGCGGGGTCAGGGTCCAAAAACAAAAGGGACTTGCCACATTTCTGCAATTCGGTGGCACCCCTCACGCAGATCGGCGGGGTCAGGGTGCAAAAACACAAGGGATTCGCCACCTTTCTAAAATCCGGTGGCATCCCTCACGCAGTTCGGCAAGGTCAGGGTCCAAAAATACACGGGATTTGCATTTTTGAAAAATTTCGGCGGCTTCCCATCGGCGGGGTAAGGGTCCAGAAACACATGGGATTCGGTACATGTCTGAAATGCGGCGACATCCATCACGCAGATCCGTAGGGTCAGGGTCCAAAAACACAAGGGATTTGCCACATTTCGGAAATTCGGCGGCACCCCACACGCAGATCCGTAGGGTCAGGGTCGAAAAACAAACAGGTCCCGACACTGCTTCACGGCGAAGCCAAAGCCTCATGACTTCGCTCTTCCATGGCCCATTCTCCGAGAGAGGAAGCCGGCGGCAGGGGGCGAAGCCCTTACGGATGCAAACAAAAATATTCAAACATCGTCCCCAGACAATTTGTTTTAACATTTTTTGAATTTTCCCCCTGTAGTGGGACACGCCCGACTTCAGCTTAGAGTGAGCGCATCATGAAACACCTTTCATCCTGGGTGGAAGAGGAGAGGCCACTCCGCGGCCAAAGGTCACTCGGGCTTCGGGCCATAACCGGCGGCCGCCCAGGTCAGGTTGGGCACCCCCAGGACGCCCTCGGCGAGGCGTACCTGCTGGAACGCATCCCGAGGCAGACAAACCTTCGAGATGCAACATCCGTATCCGCGCCACAACGGTCTGGATACCGAGGCGCGATCCCGCGGATACGCGGACGCACGGGTACGTTCCACGCGAGGTATCTGTGACAAAACGCCACGTAACCGCGGGGTCGCTGGCCCGCGAGGCCCCGGATACGGATCTATGTGATTCGCCCACGACGCACCCCGAGGCAGGAACACCTGTGGGATGCGACGAACAGCGTCCGAGAACGCTCGGCCGCTCACCAGCCACACGTGGGGTCGTGCGCCGAAGTCGTCGCCGTCGCCGTCGCCGTTGTCGTCGTTTCGTCGTCGTTTCGTCGTCGTTTCCTCGTCGTTTCGTCGTCTTTTCGTCGTCGTCGTCGTTTCATCGTCGTTTCGTCGTCGCTTCGTCGAAGTCGTCGTTTCGTCGTCGCTTCGTCGTCGTCGTTATTTCGTCATCGTCCTCGTCGTCTTCGTCCTCGTCGTCGTCGTCGTCCTCGTCCTCTTCGTCGTCCTCGTCGTCGTCGTCCTCATCGTCGTCGTCCTCGTCCTCGTCGTCATCGTCCGCGTCGTTTGCCAGCTGCTGCGGCGATGTCGTCGTCGCCGGCTCTGGGGCGGCGGGCACCTGAGAGGCTTCGAAGGGTTCTTCAGCTCCTGGTTCGGGGATGCGGCGCAGGGCGGCGTGGGCGCGCCGGGGCCGAGGCCCCTTCCTCCTCCTCCCTCCTCCTCCTCCTCCTCCTCCTCCTCCGTCCTCCTCCTCCTCCGTTCCTCGCCTCCGAGCTCGCGCCGCCCAACGACTTGCCTCAGGGACCCCCGACGCCGGCGCGCAAGGTCGCAGTGCTAGCTGCCAGCTCGGGCCCCCGGTGGGGCCTCGGGGGGCTAAAAGTATTCGGCTGCGGAGGTGGGAGCGCTCTGCTGCCATCCCGCAAAGTCATCGCCTGCGCCATACAGTCATCGGACTGACCTTAGGAACGATCAGTGAGGAACGAAGACCCTTTTCTTCTCCAAAAAATAACGCATAGGAGTGATATGTAATACATAAAGCATGAAGGACGATCAACCACGCATGCAAACCTAAGGAACGACCGAGCCCCTTTAGAAAAGTAAGTGTTCCATATTCAAGCCGCCCACTGCACTGTGTGCGCAGCTATCCTGCCAGAAGCTGGATTGATAGTGATATTCACATGACTCTCGAGGGCAGAACGATCTTTGCTGGATGCTCGAAGACAGTCGAAGACAGAGCGACCTCCACTGCGGCGCCCCCCTTCTCCTTTTCGCATGATGGTTCTCCTGCTCCATCTCGTGATCCTCCTCCTCCTCCTTCTGGGCGCTGAGCGCTGATGGCTCTGGTGTCGTGACCGACGCAGCCTCCCTCCGACTCCTCCTCCTCCTCCTCTTTCTCCCCCTCTCCTTCGCGTGGCAAGGCGTCGCGAAACAGGATACTTCCAATAGTTGACGCCCACGTGCCGTTTCCTCCATCCTTCCATCTTCCCTCCCTCCCTCCCTCCCTTCGCCCTGCCACACTCCACGCAGTCGCATCGAAGCGTTCGTGGGCCAATGATCCCCTCGCCCCTTTTTCCGTTCGTCGTCCTTCTTCCCCCTCCTCGTCGCCATGTCTCGCCCGTCTCGTGCTCCTCGAAACAGGCGTGACACTGTATCAGCTTGGGCGCATGTTCTCGGGCATCGGCCCCGAATTGTCGACCTGGATGCCACGATCTGCGCTCTCACGACTTCACTCATTCACACCCTATTGAACATTCTGCCAACGCAACTCTGACGTGCACGGTCTCAGCCTGTCTGTCTGTCCTCCGTCTCCCACCGCTGCTGCTGCTGCTGCTGATGCTCCACTTCGTCCTTACCCCTCCTCATTCTTTCTGCTCCTCCTCCGCCTCCTCCTCACCCTCCTCCACCCATTCCTCCCAAGATGGTTCAATGAGGCCTCCTGGAGGCTCCCAAGACAACTCGCGTGGGCATCGGTTATGGCGCGAGGCGTCAAGAAATTCCGCGCTGGCCCTCTGTTCGTTCGGCCTCCGAACGTCTCCAATGCAGCAACGCATCATCAGAAAAAGCTGCAACAACCCCCACGTACTATCCAGAGACGGCCCACAGAGCCCTCAAAGGCTCCAAGACATCCCCAAGCCACCAAGAGACTCCCAAAGAGGCCCTCAGCGAAACCCGAAAAGGCGACAACAATTGACAAACCTGAGGGAATCAACGGCGCTTGATCCCGAGATCCTACTCTTTCAGAACGGCTGGAGAAAGCTTCAGAAGCCCCTAAGAAGCCCTGAAGACGGCCCACAACTGCCCGAAAATCATACCCAAATGGCCGCAAGACTTCCCGCTAACCCTGCAAGAAGGCCCAAGAGGGCTTCAAAACCCAGGGAGGACAAGATCTAGATCCACGCGAATTCAGACCGCGCGCTGAACTGGCATGGGTCTGAAGCTCACTCTAAGACCCAAGCCCGTCCAACAACGCTCAGCTAGCCCCCAAATAATGCATGATCCCACCAATCTGCATCAAGACATCCAAGCGACGCTCCAAAGGGCTTCCGCCGAGGCCCGAAAACGTGAAAACCGTTTGAACAGTTCAGGCAACCCAGTAGTATGCGTTCCCAGAATCTTTCGGCTTCGAACCGCCTCTGGGAAGACCCAGAGAACTCCAAAAAACACCCCAAGCTGCCCTGAACTGCCCCCCAAAAAACACCGGATGACCCCCCGAAGTGCCCGAGATCCCCCCCCCGACTGCGCGCAAGAGGGTTCCGCGACGGCCACAAGACCAAGAGAACGAAACCGAGTTTGAGACCCACGCGAGTTCAGACAGCGCGCTGACCTGGCGCGGGTGTCACGCAGCGTCCTTCACGCTGCGCTGCTGCGCTGGCGCCGTGGCGGGGTTTGCCGTCGTCAGACAAGATGCGCCAAACGCGCGCCGCGGTTACTTCCATGCTGGTCCGCGGGGGGGTCAGACCCAGTGTGAGGCCTGCACCAATACGAAGGAGAGAACGCGTTGCGTGGACGCTTCCCTGGAACAAAAACACCTTGACACGGTGGAACTGAAGGGGGGTGGGGCAACAAACATTTATCGCCCCTGGAAAACCGGTGGCGCCCCTGGACACCGGCCTCCCTAATCGGGAGGGGGGCCCCCCCAGGACGGGGGTTGGAACCGGAACCCCACCCGCCCTGTCCAAAAGGGGGGGGGGGCCGAACCCGGAGGCCCCCTCCCCCCCCCCTGAGCTGCAAGAGTGCGGCGGGTTCGAACCAGCCCCCCATCTTATCCACGGGGGGAGCTTCGAACCGGGGGGGTCCCTCCCCCTGAGTTGCAGAGGGGGGGTGTCGAACCGAGCCGTCTCTCCCCTGTGCAAGGGGAAGGTATCGAACTACGGGGGCCCCCCCTCTCCAGAATTTGATACTATATAGCTTGCTCCGGCCCAAATCTAATCCGACTGAGGGTCGATTCAACTTTAGTAGACTCCTATTCTAGCTGGGTTAAACTTTACTAACATCCTAGTCTGGCTGGATCCAACTGTTATAGAACCCCCCGCGTATTCAACTTTACTCGCATCCTGGTCGGGCTGGCTCCAACTGATATAGAATCCCCCGTCTGTCTCGCGTGCCATTCAACACGTATGTCCCAAACCTTCGATACCCGCCCTCTTCATCTTCGATCGTACCCCCTTAAGGGTATTCCTTTCCCACCTGCAAAAAAACAAAAACACAATGTTCCCAGCACAAAAGAATATGCCAAAAACATAATGCAACGATATGAGAACATTGAAAACGACGTATCAAAACAACACGGTCTCCGCCAGAAATGCTCTAAGAGCATAACGTGCAAACCAGGATCGGGGGGTGCTAAAGGTGCCCCTTGGCCACGGTGCCCCCAGTCGTTCGCTCCATTTGGGGGCCCCTGGCGCCCTGGGTGCCTCGTGATGGGGCCCTCTGGAGGCCGTTGGGACCTCTTGCCTCCTCGTCAATCCTGGGGGGCACCTTGGGCCTCTGGAGAGCCTCTGGGCACTTCTGGCAGCACCCGCCTGGCGGGGAAGAATCTCCCCCTGGAGAGCCCGAGGCGCAGCGGGATATTGAGAAACGTCTGGCTTCTAGAGGGGCACACAATGTGGATCCGTTACTGACTATCGTTTTAACCGATCCCCATCCCCAGCGGCGTGGCCTAGGCCCCACTGGCCGATCTTATCCCTCTGAATGGGGACACAGGCCGCTCCCTTCGGGTTTCGAGGGGTGTATCCCCAACTGGGGTGGTAATTTGGTGGGGGTCTCGAAGGGGATTGGGATGGGGATGCGGATCGGGTAAACGATACTGAACATATTCGGGGAGACGTAAGACCCGGGTACGGGGGACTCGGAAATCCCCGACGAGGTCGTCAAAAAAATGACGAGGCCGAGCCTGCATTTGACGAGGCCTCCCGCTGCAGACGTCCCACGAAACTCCTCCTCGTCAAAATCCGAGGCGCGGTCGTCAAAAAACGATGGCGAACCCGAGTCCTGGCAAACCCGGGTCTTACGCTCCCCCGACTCAAACTTGGGGCATCTGTGCCAGGAACATCAAGGAGGAGGAGGAGGAGGAGGAGGAGGAGGAGGAGGAGGAGGAGGAGGCAGGAGGAGGAGGAGGAGGAGGAGGAGGAGGAGGAGGAGGGCGGCGAAGGTGCGGATGTATCAGCACTGCCCGACCGAGGTGCGGCCCGGCGAGCGCGCACCGCCCTTGCATGGGACTCGCCGCCGTCGTCCTCGGAGCAGGGGCCGGCCGCCCCGGCATTCCTACAGGCCTACCACGACATTTTCGTAGAACCCAAATAGAGGAACAATAACTATGCACATACACCGATTTTGGCCAGGTCCATCCTGAGCCCAAGATCGGTGCATACGCCCTCCTGCCTTGGCCAGGCAGGCATATGCACCGATCCTGGGGCCAAGGATGGGCCTGGTCAGGACCGGTGCATGTGCATAGTTCTCTTCGCCCGACCAAAGCGTTCGAAAAACAGAAGCCATGTCCGCAGAACATAAGCCCGACGTGCCAAATCAGGACAGCTCCAGCCAGAGCTGTTCGAAGAGCACTTCGTGCAGACCAGAAGAAGGTTCTTCGAACATTCTTTGGTATGCCTACAGGCAAACTGGGACGCGTCGCCACTGCTTGACACACAACCCGTGCGTCTCAAACTTGGGGCATCCGTTACAAACTATCGTTTAACCGATCCCAATCCCCAGCGGCGTGGCCGCGGCCCCACTGGCCGATTTACCCCCCTGGATGGGGACACAGGCCGCTCCCTTCGGGTTTCGAAGGATGTATCCCCGACTGGGGTAATGAGATGTTGGGGGTCTGGATGGAGATGGGGCTGGGGATGGGGATCGGTTAAACGATACTGACGCCCGGCAGGGGCTCGACGCCGTCATCCTCCAGCGACAGGGTCAGGAGGTCCATCTCGAAGAGCGGCCTGGCTGGGCCGGCCAGGTGCTTCGGGGTGAGGTTCACAAAGGCGCCTGCCGGCCCTGCCCATGCCCCTCGTCCTGCTCCCTCCGTCCCTTCCCGCACCCCCTCTTCCCCGATCCTGCATATCTCATCCCCGTATCCATCGTCCCGCCTGCTGGGTGTCCAACCTGCCTCCACCGTCCCTCCAGGCCTCTGACTGATCCTCCCTTCTCCTTCCTACCTCCCCACTCTGCACCATATTGCGTCCTCGCTCCATCTCCTACTCCCTCGTCCCTCTCAGGTGGTCATCGTCCTTCTCTTACCTCTCTCCCCTCATTTCCTCTTCCTCCTGCCCCAGCCTCCGCATCTTTCTCCTTGCTTCTCATGATTCCTCCGCCATGGTCCCCCGCGTGGAGCGGATGCGCCTGTCTGCAGGTAATACTTCCTCTGCTCCTTTATGAAATCCTCCCGGACGCAAGAGAAGTCCGTGTCGTACCTCGCCGTCCCGGAGAGGATTGGAAAGGAGCAAGCATCGGACCATAGAAGGGGAACGAACCAACTCACTTGGTTCTCCGGTCGCCTCCTGGCGCCTGGGGCAACAATGCACCGAGGGACATGCCTGGCTGCGGGGCCAGAACCAGCTGCACGCAACAGTTTTTATTGTTGGTAGCCGCCCATAAACGTACTGTCGTAGCTGGACGCGGACTTCAGGGATCGGCGGTGGACCCCCTTCCCTGGCACGCGGGGCGCGCCAGGGGCGGAAGCGCCGCCGGGGGGACCCAGCGCCTATCCAAGAAACCCGTGCGGAGCATCGAGAATTCTCCAAACATCGCTTGTACTTAGGAGATCTTGCTTGTGTTCTAAGAAATTGGGCCTGGTTGGCGGTCTGGCAGTTCCATGGTCGCCGTCGCCGCCCCGTCGCCGCCTCGCCGCCGCCCGTCGTCTGGGCCTGGCTTGCGGTCTGGCGGCTCCGTGGTCGCCGTCGCCGTCTCGTCGCCTCGTCGCCGCTTCGTCGTCGCCTCGTCCGCGCCCGGTCTTTGGGCCTGCATTGCTTGACAGGTTGCTGCGTTTCTACGCCGCGTGTTTCATTGCGTTGTTTTGCATTGCGTTGCCTCTTTCTGTACAACATCGACATCGCAACCAATATCGCACCACATACATCAGACTGCGCGAATTGTCCAACATGGGTTGTGCAACGGGCTCTGTATGTATGTATACATACATACGTGTATACTGTATATACACATGCGTGTGCAATGGAACTTTTTTGTGGGAACATCGGAACGCCCCCCCCCCGAGTTCAACGGTCCCCTTCTGTACTTCAATGTGCATATACGTCCGCCCCATCGCCAATCCTACATCGGAATTCGTGGTATCCCAGCTAAACCAGATTTCCCCCCTCTCATCATGTCTGGACAAAATACGCGCGTGCACTTTGTTATTGACGAGAATCAAATTCCACAAATATGAAGGAAAACGGGGACGTCGTGCAACACGCGTGCGGGCGCATGCTGGAACTTGTTTGTTATAACAACATCACTTTCAATAAAGATTTCGAAACCGGACGACCCGAATATATGCGTGTACATATATAAAGCCCATGTTCTTGCGACAGCAGTATTCAAGAAATGCCTGTGCTCAAATGCGTGCGAATTCTTAAGGGCACCAATTATCACTTCCATCATCGCGCCGACCATCATTATCACTTCCATCATCACTATCGTCCTCGCGATGATATCGAACCCACCCAAATCGTCGACAAGCACTGAAATGCCCACTCGGATCTGCCGACAAGTCATCGCCACCGCGGCCGCGTCGGTCGTCCCAACCTTGCTGCCCGCTGCGAGCGCGAGCATGCGCGGGCTAGCGCGGCCGCAGAGATGCATCAGCCAACACCCAGCACCCATCGCAATCGTCACCGCATGGTTTTTGCAAACCTGGTTGCAGGTGGGTGGGTGGGATGGATTGCGACCAGTTGCGCTGGCAGCTTCAAATTCGGCAGGGCGAATTGAACCAAATTGGTTGCACCTCGCGCGTCGCTCCACATAGATTGCCCCACATGGATTGCACAAGGTAGATTCAAATTTCCCCCAAACAATTGTATCTACCACCCTCCTGATGCCAGGCACCCCCAATGGGGATGTGCAGTGTACGTACGATGCTGATCCATCGCGCATTCGAACAGCGATTCCCAGCGTAACGGGGACCGAATCCGCCACACCATACTCTGCAACAAAAACTATGCGCGCGCCCTCGTGTGTCATCCATGTTTGGTAATCTTTCGCAAACAAAAGGGGGCGACTTGCACACGCGCGCTGCGTCGCGCGAGCATGCCAAAATTCTTCAAACATGTTCAACATCGGGTGTCCGCAAACACATGAGAATCCAACAGTTCAGCTACATAATGTCCCAGGGCATACATGCATTTATGCTCTTGCATTCGCCGTGTTCCCCAAGTGTTTCCAAACGTGCCTCCCCCGCGCGCGTGACAAACAATCCGTCGAACGCCCTTGCGCGCGCGCTGTCGCAGGACAAACCCTCATGAAAAGGACGAAAACCGCACGCGCGCGTCGACTCGCGCGCTGCATAGGGGATTCAAAACCGAATGTCCCACAAACACAATACACAAACACCTCGTTTGTGCAACGCCTGTTTCCTAACAAAAACCTCAGCGAACGCGCTCTTGCAAAACCTGTTCCTGGTGACAAATAACGATTTCTCGACCTGCTCATCAACTTCGGTCGATCGGGCCTCTCGCGCCCCATGTCGACTTGTTTTGAACGTCACTGCGCGCGCGCGCACTGGGGGTGGGAGGGGGCACGATCCCTGTCCAATACAGCCATGCAGGCCAGTCGCGCGCGTCGGCCGCGCGTGCCAGTCGAGCTCCTTCCAAAACCTTCATCACCGACGCCAGGACACTGTCCGTTTCACCATCGGCGTGGTCAACATCGGCGCCATCGATGGCCTTGCCGTCGTCATCATCACCATCGTCATCAAAATCGCTACGATCATCCTGGTGTCTACCGTTGTTGACGCCGCTATGATACCGCGCCCGCCCAAATCAACAACGCGCACTGAAGTGTCCGCCCGACAGTGCCTAGCGGTCAGCGCCAGAGCAGCCGCGTCGGTCGCGCCAGACTTGCTGGCCGCTGGGCGCGCGAGCATGCGCGGGCTAGCGCGGCCGCAGAGATGCACCTACCGACACCAAGCACTCATCGCAATCGCCGCCGCATGGGTGTTGCAAACCAAGCTCCAGGTGGGTGGGTGGTATGATTGAGCGAGAAGTGGACATGACAACCCACTAGTGATCATTGGCTAATTGCACCACCCAGCTTGCACCACATAGATTGCTCGCATTGATTGCTCCGCATGGGTTGCACAATATGTAGATAGATGTCCGTATACATATTGCTAGAACACACACAGTTTGGGGTCCACGCAGGCCAATAAGCATGTTCATGCAATGCTGCCTCCTTCGACTTTCCAAATTCCCCCCCTTGAGGCCTCCCAAATGGAGTCTGAGAAGATGGGGTCAGAAGATCGCGCCGCACCGCTGATGCATCACCGAAGCATCGGTGATGCATCCGCGACGTCGGCGATGCAATGGCGACAACGGCGTGGAGGAAATCGGGATCCACATCGAGCCGCATCGCCGCATCGGCGATGCGGCGCGATCCCCCGACCCCATCTGCTCTGACCCTATCTGGAAGGCCTGGGCTCCCTCTCGTCCCGACCGAAGCGAAGCAGGACCTGGGATCACCCGGCGTGGCGCCCCGAGCACGCGCGGAGCGCGCCTGCCTCGTCGGCTTCGCGCCCCCCCCCCCCTCCGCCCCCCCCCCGCCCCCCCCCGCTTCCCCCCCCGCCCAGACCGCGAGCCCTTCGCGCCCCCCGTGAGCCCATGCAGGATGGAGGTGCACGACGGGGGCCAGAGCGGGAGCGGCCACCAGAGAGCTCCGTGACAGCGCCGGCCATCCAAGAGAGCCCCCGTGAGCCGTCCCTCGCTGTCGCCTCATGGGCTTCCTGGGAGGCCTTCGTCGCCGCGGCTGGATTCGCCAAGAGAGTCTGGTCAGGACGCGCCTCGGGAGAGGTTTGGGGGCCAGCGGCATCGGTATAGTTTGGCTTGGCTCCCCCAGGGCAGAGAGAATCGGAGCGAGGTAAACGCGCTCCGCTGGGGGGGGTCCGACCGTGCCCATCAGGGCACAGCGTGGAGGCCATGGCCTCGAAATGTGATACGTGCGCGGACTCACGTGATAAACAACCATTCGCACATGTGGGTGATGCTGATATTCGCTCCAGGGTGGCCGGATGATGCAGAGGGAGGAGAAGCAGCAGCAACAGCAGTACCCTCCGCCGCTACTGCGCCTCTCATCGAATTCCCCGTCGTCGCGTAGCGTCTGTTCTCCTCGGCTCATCTTGCTCCAACTCCTCATGCTGCTCAAGCTGTCCGCGCACGCACACACACACACACACACACACACACGCACGCACGCACGCACGCACGCACGCACGCACACACACACACACACACACACACACACACACACACACACACACACACACACACACACACACACACACACACAACACACACATACACACACACTCTGGTCCCAGAAGGCTCCCCCTCAGGCCTGCCCTGGGATGTGTCCCTCTCGGAGGAAGCCACCTGCGAGAGATGGATGCCGTTGAGGCCGCTATAGAGTTTGACTTGGGCGCCTCTCCCAACCCCACCCCCTCCTCCTCCGCCTGCGCCACCTCGACTCACACAGGAGATCCTGGCGCAGCGAAAGGCTGCACGACGCAGGCGGGCGCTGCGGCAGACCATACCCGAGGGGAGGCTCTTCACTTGCGCTCGAGACTCTTAGGGGTACTCTCTTGTCTGTCCACCCTGCAGGCTGAAGATGAGCCTTCACGTTATTTCACTACTCCCGAATTCCTCCTCCTGGAGCCGAATGGCGCCTTGGAGGCGGCTGGGGGGTCCGGATGAAGGGATATCCGCTCAGAATCGGTCCCTGAACCTCTCCTGGGGGGCCCATCTGGTGCAATTGTCTTGAAGGGGCCCTGGGACACACAGATAAAAAGACACGAACAACAGGATTCCCCTGTTTTCCCATATGTTCTGGGTTTGGTGTCTTCCCCCCCACTTCCCATAGTTTCCCACATTTTCTGGGGAATCGATGATTCATTGTGTCTGTTTGTTTTTCCCTCCTGATTGTTTCCCTCCCTCTGGAGCCCCGTGCGCCCCGGGCTCCCTCTCCCCCCGCCAGTTCTTCATGTCGCTGGCGAAGGTCTCCCAGTGCTCCTTCTCGCCCTCCCAGGCCTGCCTCTTCTCCTCGGGCGGCGCCGACGACGACACCGACGAGGACGGCTGACGACGACGATAACGACGACGACGACGACGACAACGATGGAGACGATGACGACAGCGGCGGAAGCGGCGACGACGACGAAGAACAAGATGATCACCTGCGTCGTCGTCGTCGTCGTCGGTGTCGTCAACGCTGTCCGCTCCCCAAGCCTGCCCTCGGACCACACCTGCAGGGCCTCCCCCACCAAACCCGGCAGGATGCGCAGGGCTGCAGACCACAACGGATGGACGCATGCACGGAGGGAGGCATGGACGCCGAGACCGGATGGGTGCATGGCGGCGTGGGTGAGTCGCCATGGGGAAACGGGGTCCTGAGGAAGACTCGGGAATGGACAGAACCTCCTTTAATAAAACGTGGTTTTGTGAAAACCACCTCGGGCCCAAACCTGGCGGGCGCAAGCCTGGGAAATGACGGCAGCGGCGCCCTCTCGAGCACCGAAAACGGACAGTCGACGTGTCATGGTGGGGTTCTGTCCACCCCCGAGAGACGGGTCCTGAAATGTTTCGGGCTCTCAGGGGCCTCTGCGGGCCCTAGGACCGTCAGAGAAAGGCTCCGGAGGAAGAGGCCGGACGGCGAGGGGAGAAGTCGAGGAAGGCCCGAACCCCGAACCTCCCCCCCAGAGTCAGTCCAGGCCCGCGCCTGGCCCGCCCCTCTCAACCGGGCTTTGCTTCGCCGCCGGGGTTCGCCTCGCGCTTCGCTGGGGCGTCGACTCGCCCGCACTCCCCATCGCCTGGATTCGCCTCGCCCAGCTCGCTTCGCCCCGGTATCGCGTCGACCAGGCCGCTATAAAATCTACCCGATCGCCGCTCTCCCGGCATTGAGGGAAGAGGAAATGGAAAAGGAAGGACGGACAAGGGAGGAGAGGAGGAGCAAGGGAGGGATTTGAGAGGAGGAGGGAAAAGGGAGGAGGGACGAGGAGGGAGGGAGGGAGAAGTGGGAGGAATGATGGAAGACTCATCAACGATGTTGGAGAAAACCCTCCCTCCAAACTCCCTCTTCATAGGCCCCTACAACTCACTACCACTGGGGGGAATGCCCCGTTGGGAGACAACCGCTGAAAAATCCTTAGGCGTGCCAAATACCATCCTCTGGACACTTCAACGCCGCGAATATACCTGACTGTTGCGTCTTGACGTCCCTGAATGGTGCCAGAACGCGGTTCGTGGGACTTCACAGTCCTCATGTTGAAAACGGCACGCCCTCAATCAGTGAAATTCTTGAACATGTTTATGATGAGTGTGCGCGGCGCCAAGGAGAGGGGCACATTGTGATAGCGACCCGCCATCCATCTGTGAAACTGCTGCAAGCTTGTAAGCTTCAGGATCACTAGTGGTCAGGATGTCTCTGGCGAAACGCCTGGCCGCCCGTCCGACAGGCCTCGTGGTGCGACAGGGAGGAGTCATTGATGAAGAAAAACATATGGATGAGGACGAGGAGGAGGAGGAGGAGGAGGGAGGAGGAGGAAGGGGAGGAGGGAGGGGGGAGGAGAAAGAGAGGGGGAGGAAGACACTGATGAGGAGGAGGCAGGAGGCAGCAGGCAGGAACGGCGAACAAGCACGGGCGAGAAAAATAGGGGAACAAAACGAGACATAAACATAACAACTCGGAGGTCCGCGCGGATTTCTCGGATCGGCGCTGGACCCCCCTCCCTGGCGTGCGGAACGCGCCAGGGGCGGCGCCAGAGGCGCCGCCGGGGGGGCCCAGCGCCGATGCGAGAAATCCGCGCGGACCTCCGAGTTGTTATGTTTATGCCACTTTGTGTTCCCCTAACAAAAAAAGGGGAAGGGACGGAGGGCGGGCGGGCGGGAGGACGGAGAGGAGGATGGACACGCGGACGGCGGAGCGGTCTGGCGCGGCCTGCGGGGCGCGAGCGGCCAGATGCGGACGAAGCGCGCGCGGCGCGCCGACGGGAAGAACGCCGCCCATGGGTCCCACACTCCTCGTCCTCCTCCTGCTCCTACTCCTCCTCCTCCTCCTCCTCCTCCTCCTCCTCCTCCTCGCCGTCCTCGCCCTCCTCCTCCTCGTCCTCCTCCTCCTCAGCCTGCTCCTCCTGCTTCTCCTCGCCCCTCGTCGTCCGCTCCGCCCTCCGCACTCCTCTGACTTGTCCTCCCGCGCCTGAGCGGCGTCGTGCAACTCGGCTGGTCTTGCTTGCTGGGTGCCGGTGCACGGAGTACTCGGCTGGGGCGAAAATGGGCAGCCAGGAACTACGCCCATCCAGCGGAGCGAGCGGTACAAGGCTCCATCTGGTATTGCACAGCTGCGCCGTACAACCGAGGTCTGACACTAGGCAAAACAAGCCCAAGGGTTTCACCGATCTAGCGAATTGGCTCCCGGGGGCTGCTAACCAGGCCCGGCCTTTGCTGATAACCCCCAGTAACAGGCTGCGAGTTGGGGTGCGCCCCGAGCAGTGGGCACCCCCCACTGGCAGTTCATAGCCGTAGCTGTGACACACCCGAGGTACTGTTGAATGGTGACTCGCACGCAGATCTGGCATTTTGGCCTGTGACCTATCCACTCTGTTTCTCCTCGCCATCCTCTGCTCCTCTATATTGTCATCCTCGTTGTCCTTTGTTCCCTCGTCACTGCTCCTCCTTCTCGATTGCCCCTCCCTGCTCACTCCTCCTCCCCCCCGCTGCCCTCCCCATCCTCGCTCACCCTCCTCCTCCACCAGCGTGTCCCCCTTACCAAGAATAGTTTTGTCCCGACATTGAGCAAGGCCCGTTGCGTCTGATCTCCATCAATTGCATCCCCCTCATCGTCATCCTCCTTCTGATCCTTCCCCTGCTCCTCCTGCTCCTTTGCCTGCTCTGTTCCTTCCTCCTTCACCTCGTCGGCGTCACCCTTCTTCACGTATTGTTCGTCCCTCTGTTTCGTCTTGATATTCAATGCCACCGTCATCGTCCTCATCTTCCCTCGGCGTTTCTCCCATCATTCTGTTTATTCCCCCTCTCTTGTTCGTCATGTTCAACATCACGGCCATGTTGCCCTCGTGCTCCATCCCCCTTCTCCACATACCGCCTTCCTCCTGGACATCATGTTTCCTGGCGTTAGCTTGAACATCTCGCAGGGCATCGTCCTCAACCACCGTGGCGCTCATCTGCGAGCTATCCAGCTAATCTAACCAGCACCAAGGACATCTGTTTGGAAGGTGTCTCGAAATGAACGCTTTCCCGAACATTGGAGGACACACATGTTGTTTTCAGGATGTTCAACAAAAGCCCACACAACGAGCGTAAAAGAAATCACGTCCACATCACATTTCTGCAACCATCATCGGGGTATCGCACTTTACCAAACTTGTAAGAAAGTTTTTCCCCAGCCACATGCAATCGTTGATTGTATGATGGGCGTTCTTCGAAGTTCCGTTTTTTCGCCCCACAAACACACACACACACCGCGTGAGCAACATCTAATACGTTTACGAGCATGTAGCCCAATTGCTACACCCGCCTGCCTCCACACCCAGGTCATCACCAATATCATCGGCATCCGCATCCCCAGCATCATCGGCAGCATCATCATCATCACCATCACCGACAGAACACCATGATCACCATCAACATCAACATTGCCATCGCCATCGTGATCTACATCATCTACTGCATTCCCATCATCACCCATTTTTTCCCCATCCGTCTCATCCTCCTTCCCCCATCATCATCACAATTACCATCGCCACCATCCTCACCATAATCATCTTCAATCTCATCATGCAACACCATCTTCATAACTCACATGAGCATCGGAATTGTCATGGTCGTCACGACCCACCCTTCGTCAAATTCAACATCACCGTCGGTTTATTTCCTCAGCCATCCCATGTCGATGCCGGATGTAGGAGGTAACGGAAGAAATTCGACATTACATGGGTTTCTCGCCAGCGCGAAGATCTGCACAACGGAGGAGGAGAAAAAAAAAAACAGGTCGAGTAGTAGAGAAGAGCGCGATGAACAGAATAGTGATGCGAATGGCGACGGCGATGATGATAATGTGTCTGGGGGTGGCAATGATGCTGATGATTCCGCCCCTGGGATCTCTGAAAATCCTTCTGTCGTTGGTCCACGTCCTTGTCTGCGAACCTCGGGGCCGCCTGCGAGGGAAACTGATCCGAACCTCGGATATCGTAGTGGGTTGCAAGAGACCCCCGGTCGTTAATGAGAGCTGCTGCGCAAGAATTCTTCATGCGCAAAGGCGCAATGCAAAACAACGCCGGTCGACTGCAGTCGCTTGAGAAAGAGGAGGGGGGACTTTGTTGGACATCAACGATCCAGGACCCCTATCCAGGGGCGAGGTAAGCGATGCACAAGTACAAAAAGAGGTACAACGCGTAGAAGCACCTGCGCGCGAACAGCACAACCACGAAAAACAACCGAACCGAATACTGAACAAAAACCATAATGCCATTCCACACAAGCACCGCAAGAAGCCGCGAGGACGCACGAGTGCAATATCGCGGAGAACAGCTTCGCCCCTGACGGGTCCGCACCACAGGCTGCTCCCGCAACGGCTTTGCCCCGCGCCCACGAAAACGGGAAAGCCCATGAAGATGAGCTTCAACCAAGCAAGAAGCGGAAGACCGAATGATACATGCCAGCGCAAATATTCACAAACGTGAAAGAAGAGCGGATCGTCGTCGCCGTCTGGACCGAGGAACAACCGCGAGTGAGAAAACCAATCCACACCAGCCGACGCCGACAACGAGGCAGCTCCGAAAATGCGTCCCTCTCCAGGATCGGGCTGGTGCCCTTGCGGCACCCACGGGGCGCAGCCCGCGGGCTCCTCCGCACCGCGCTGATCACGCGCAGGACCTTCGCGATGCATATGATCCGCGCGACCGCGCACGCGCTCGCACTCGGCGCCAGGGAGGCTGTCGCCCGCGGGAACTTCGAGAGGAGGCGCGGGGGGTGCGCCACGGCAGTGCTCGCCCCCAACAGCCGCCAAGCCGTCGGCAGGCTGCGGAGCCGG